GAAGTATGCGACGACATAGTGGGAAGACGAACAAGAAAAATTCTGACCGAAATAATTGCTTGGGAACAGTGCCATGCTTAGATCTGAAGGTGGTTTTATGCCAATTAAACAAATGTGGCCTTTATAAAAAAAAATAGTATAAAAATATCATCTCAAATGTACACAAAAGTAATAATAACTGAAATTATAAAAAAATTTAAAACATAATTTTTTTCTTTCTTTCCTAGAAAATCATTCACTAAACTCACGTAATTGAGTTATTTCACCAATTCTCTTTATATAGATATAATAACCAACTCATTTAACTTATCTTGTGACATAATTGATTGGAGGTACAACTTTTTTAATTATTTTTGTTTGAAGTTATAGTTAAATTTCTTTTCTTTTTTAATTTTATGTTTGTATTTATCTCTTCATTTATGAATATCTATAAAAATAAATATTATTAACTATAATACTAGTATATGGGCTTCTCTCAAAGACAAAACTCAACAGTATTTACCTCATTAATTATGTATATTATGTGAATACCTGCACGTAACGTGCGGTTTCTTATTTTAACTATTTCAAATTTATATATTTTTGTATTTTCCTTAAAAATATAATCATTATTTGTTATGTATTAATATATTATTATAAATCATTCAATTTAAAATATAATATCATTACAAAATTAAAAGTTTATACCAAAAAATATTCATCAATATTTTTAATTAATTATAATATAAATTATTGTTTAATATTTACATAAATTTTATTTAAGATCAATTAATAAATATTTTTTTTTTCTTTTTCTTTAAGTGGTTTAAAATTAAATATTAAAATTTATTAATTAATTTACTTTTTAAAAACTGAAATTTCAAATAAGTTTTATCTTCAACTATTTCAAATTTATATATTTGATCATTATTTTTTATGTGCTAGTATATTATTATAAATCAATTAATTTAAAATATAATATTATTTAAAATTAAGAATTTATTTTTAAAATATCAATTTTTAATTAATTATAACTTAATTTTTTGTTTAATATTTACATAAATGTTATTTAAGAATTAATTAATAAAAAACTTTTTATTTTTTTTGAGTGGTTTAACACTTAATATTAAAATTTATTGATTAAGTTTCCTTAAAATTTATAATTTAAATTTAAAATATAACACATGTCATTTCCATATTAACTCTTAAATATTGATGTGTCACTCATATGGAGAGAGTTGAACAAATTTTATATATATACTAGGAGAGAACATGTGCTACGCACAGATCTTATTTTATTATGTTTTAGAAATTATATAAATTATCAATTTTTTGTTTTTTGTATAATTTGTTTTTTTCTTTCAAAAATCTAGTAGGTGTTCTTCCAAATTTCGAGTTCTTTGATCTAAATTTTGATCTAGCAATAATTTTTAACTTTCTCAACATATATTTTTTATTTTTAAATTTTAATAACCTCTTTTATATGTTATGTTTTTGAATTTTTTTTAAAAAAAAATCCTGACTAACAACAATTTTAACTTTCTCAATTATCATTTTCATGTTTTCTTATGACACATATTTCATTCAATCCATCTTTCCAACTGATATCTTCAAATTGTTGCCATATATATTTTTTTCTTTTCTTTTCATTTTTATTTATTTTTTCTCTATTTTTGATATCTTGATATTTTTCTATTCTTTATTTATTTTTTGGTGTTAAATTTTTTTCTCTTATTTTTTATTCTTTAGTTGCTTGTTTTTTAAAACATATTTTTTTTTAGTTTTAGCCGCATAACTTGCTTTTTACCATTTTGTGTTTTTATGATCTTAGTCACTTCTTTCATCCATTTTTTAAATTTTTTTTCATTTAAATTCTCACATAACAATTATTTTGTTGTTACATATATTTTATTGAATCCATCTTTCCAAATATATTTATTTGTTGACATATTTTTTTATTATTTTCTCTCTAATTTTGATATTCTCTTATCTACTCGATTATTTATTAAATTTTTTGTTTTATGTGTTGTAGTTTAATAGCTCTTGTTTTTGTTCTTCAGTTGCTTGAAAATCTTTTTGACTTTTGTTATTATTATTATTTTTTTTTGTCTCAAAACTTATTTTTTCATCATTTTTGTTAATTTAGCTATCTTTGTAGTTCAATGATGACAATTAAATCACATACTTTAACAAATTTATGCTTTAATATTTTAAATTATACATAGTTTATATCTATTTATATTGTTTAATGGATTTTCTTTAGTTTTATTGTACGTTTTTATTAAAGATAGTGGTTTCAGTTTTAACTTCATAACTTGTTTTTTGCTATTTTACATCTTTTTTATAATTTTCGTAACCTCTTTCATATATTTTTCTGATTTTTTTTTTCATTTAAACCCTCATATAACAATTAACCTTTCTCAATTTATCATTTTTTTTTGTTATTACATATATTTCATTAAATCTATTTTCCAGTCAATATCTTTAAAATTTTGTATCTTTATTTGCTATCATAATTCTTTTTGATTATTTTTCTCTCTAATTTTAATATTCTCTTATTTTTCCGATTAATGATTATTTATTTTTGTGTCTTGTGGTTTTATAGTTCTTCAGTTCCTTGAAAAAAATTAATTATTGTTTTTATTTTTGGTCTCTAAATATTTTTCCTTTTTTAATTGATTGACGTATTTTTTTAGTTTAAAGATGATTAAATCATAAACCAAAAATTAAGAAGTCAATCACTATATTTTAATGAATTTAAATTTTATTTATTTTAAATTTATGCTTTAATTTTAATAGAACATAACTAAATATAAGTTAAATAATTTAGATATAAGATACATGAACCTAGTTAATAAATTTGTGACCCTAAATGTTTTTTCAAGATATAAGGAACGGCTCTGCTTGAGAATACCAAAAAGGTGGTGAAGATGTATAATATACAGAAAGGGGTTGGAGAGTTATTTTTTAAGTCGAAATATTTAAGACTGTTTTCAAATAGGGGGAAAGAATATGGATCGAAAACCTGAAACTCTCACGGTTAATTTAGTTGGAGAAAATATCAATTCATGCATGATTTATAAACACCCCATTAAGATATGTACATGAACTAAACCCCTGTTAGAAAAAAAGAAATGGACATGAACTAATGCGCTATACAAATTCAAACACTAAATAGGGGAATATAACTCAAACAAAACTAGGCTTAATTAATCTAAATTTGTTGATCTAAATAGGGTAATCTAACTATTCCTACTCTAATTCCGTTAATCAATTCGTCTAAATATGTTGAATCAGATGACATATCATATTAGATAAAATTTAATATGTTTGCTAAAATAAAATTTCCAAAAAGCCTAAACGAATTTGTTAATTAAAAGGAGTAAAAGAACAAAAAATTCACTAATTCAGAATAAATCTCTATACGAAACTTCTCACTCAAGACCGTGTATAACAAACAAAGCTTTTGCGATAGGCTCCTCAATTATATTACTTTTTTGGGGACGCAAAATTACAAAAATTTGGTTTAGCGGTTAGCATATTGATTTTAGAGAATATATATTTTTCTATGTTTCTTTTTTTTTTGATAAAAATAAAAAATAATATATTTTACTAACTTTCTATCACAAGTTCAATTCTATGTTGTCTCTAACTTATATTATTTCTTAACTAGGCTTTTAAAAAAAGTGAGGTCCCATTCGAACCTAAACTCGAGAATCAAAGAAATTAATTAATTAAAAAAAGTGAGGTCCCATTTCTTAACTAGATTTTCTGAGTTTATTAAAAATATGAGTTAATTAATTGGGTTTTATTAAATATTAGATTAGAGTACGCGTAATACATGGAAAAAAATATATTTAGACTTTAAAATTAAGAGTATATTACCTTTTGAAGCACTTTTAGAGTCTTAATGTCTATATTCTAGAGTCTTGATGCAACCTCATGGGTCTCAGTAATACGTATTTTGAATGGTTTTATAAAATAATTTTCATACTATCATTTTATTTTTTATCTTTCACTCATCACTTTAGTTTTTTTTTTTCATAAAATATTGTTAGTTTTAATTTTTGGCTTTATGAATACATTGTACTAAATGTTTGAATGAGTTTATAGAACAATTTTCATATACCATACTATCATTTTTTGTCTTTCACTCATCACTTGTTTTTCTTTTATAGGCTTTATAAAATATAATTTTGATCACATAATTAGAATTTTACTTGTTTGTTTTTAATTCTGGCTTTATGAAGATCTTGTACTAAATGTTTGGATGGTTTTATAGAAAGAACTTTTATATATCATACTCTCTCTACTCTAGATTTTACTCATCACTTTAGTTTGATCAATATATCATATTTTATGTTTTTCATTCATCACTTTAGTTTTTCTTTCACTCATCACTTTAGTTTTGATCACATAATTTGAATTTTGGCTTGTAGTATTTTTAGCTTTATGGATACCTTGTACTAAATGTTTGAATGGTTTTATAGAAGAATCGACAGAATCAGATACATGTGACCGGTATCAAAATTTCAATCTTTGAATCGCAGCTCAAATTCGATTAAATGTTACTAACCTCATATTATAATTATTTAATTTCTCTCGAATAAATGATGCATTGACATCCTTAACAATTGTATTAAACCCTCATCTATAGTTATCTACAAATTTAGTCCAACATGATACTGCTCAAATTTTGCTCCGACATCTTCGTAAATAGTAAAGGTTTTGAAAACTTTCAGGTCATAGAAAAAGGATAATAATTAAATAGAAATGATATATTTTATGCGGATAATTACAAAAAAGTTATCATAAAAATATGGAAATCTCTCAAATATTTGTAAGAGAAAAATAAGGAAAAAATGAATTACAGAAAAGATATGCAACCTTGTAAAATTTTTTTATGGAATGTTAAAATCAACATATATGGTAATGTACAATATAAAAATTATGATGAAAAAATCAATATTTCAAACCAAGTTTAAGATTAGTAAGAACGTTTATAAGTAAAAGAGATATGAAATGATCGACTTTCCAAAATTTAATTTCACATTTTTAAAAACGTATATGACGAATACATTAGTTTCTTTGGATAAAATATTTTTCATTTAAAGATTGTGATAACTTTTGTATAACAACTACGGTCAATACATGACATACATGATACATTGATCAAAGTTTGTCATTTTGGAAATCGTGACATGCTAATTTGTTTAAAATAATGCTTAGCTTTCAGATATTTATACAGAGTTTTGGTTCATATATTAGATTACTTACAATAATATTCAACTGTTTGATTTGTTAGAAGACTGTTGAACTTAGTTGGATTAATTTCCAAAAAGCCTGAACGACTTTGTTAGTTAAAAGGAGTATAAGAACATAATTTTCATAAAATATTCAGAATAAATCTCATGTTCAACTATTTCATGTTATCTATTAGCGAGAGAAGAAAATCAAAGGGTTCGCTAGCGAGACCACATTTAACATTTTTCTCTTCAGGGCGACAAGGTATTTTAGCATTATTATTATTATTATTTTTGTTTATAAATTTACTATATATTTTCACTTGTCAGTATTAAAATTGCATAGTTGAATTTGAAATTCAAGAATTTCCGTTGAGACGATCAGATTTACACTTATAAAATATGAATAAATTTAAATACTTTAAGAGGTTAGAAGCGGATAAATTTTTCAAAAGCGATTTCAGTAAAAGGACATATATAAAGAAAAGACTTGAACGAGTGAATACTACAAAGAATCTCAATGATGTTTTTAATCGCTATTATCCTGAAATGACCGATAAATGGGATTCGCCCCCCCTTGCCAAAAATCCTATCCCTCTCTATCTCAGTTTTCCATCTTAATTAGATCATTTGTTAATACACTTTATTTATTTCTTTCTTTTGGGTATTGTTTATGAGCAGTCACTGTAAGGCTGTAAAGCTATAGTTAAACATTAATAATATGTAATATATATAAATGCATGGTATACATGATGTAGCATTTGTACGATTACTTGTTCGCAGTCCTGTTGTTATTTGTTAGTATAAATAAACTAGTTTTTTAAGAATACTGCCCGGGAACAAACTAATGTTTTTGGGAAACTCATTCCTCCTGTTTAGGTTAGATGCGGAATCTTTGATCTTGTTTATGAGAGACTGATAAACAAGAAAAACATTTATACTCTTTGAAAGATGGGGAATTCCTATTGGGAGGATTGATCCATTAAACGCGGCTTATAAAGCCAGAGTTGTTACACAAAATCAGGGATACAGATAAGTGAGATATTAACATATTATCTAAGTAAAATCTACAACAATTGTAACAGAATATCCTATATATATTCTATCACTCTTAGTTTCCTTTTGTATTCCAAAATTATTTAGTTGAGGTATTATAGTTCCATAATTTGATAGAATATAAAATATTCGGTTACTTTTTTTTAGATAGAATCTGTTAATATCTTTTATGTAATCCCAGATATTGTGTAACTACTTTGGCTTTATATAGCCATGTATATACAATGAACCCTTCAAGGGGAATTCATCTACTTTCATGGTAGCAGAGCTGTTATCGTTTTTTTTTTTTCATTTCTCCTTTATCTCTCTTCTTCTTCTTCTATATTCTATTATAATTCACTTCTCTGACTTTTGATTTTACATTTCAGCAACCACCCTCTTCTTTCCAAGGAGCGACTAACAACAAACCTCCACAAGGAATGGTAAAAACATGATTTTTAAGGTTGTGTATGAAACTGAATAAATATCTTTAAATCATCGGAATCTATCCTTGGCCTCCAGGATTCAGTTACTATCGAGTTTGACGGTGCTTCGAAAGGAAACCCAGGAAAAGCTGGTGCGGGAGCTGTTCTTCGTGCTCCAGATAAAAGTGTGCTCTGCTATTTACGTGAGGGTGTGGGCACTGCCTCGAACAACGTTGCAGAGTATAGAGCTCTGAATCTTGGTCTCAAGTGTGCTCTTGAGAAAGGATTTACAAATGTGCGCGTCCAGGGAGATTCAATGCTTGTCTGTAAGCAGGTGACGATAGACTTCACTTCACCGTATCGTCTTCTTTTTTTTTTTGGTTTTGTTCCAAACATTTGTGTTAGTATCTACAATGTTTTGGCAACAGGTTCAAGATGCATGGGAAACCAAACACCCAAAAATGGCTGAGCTTTGCAACCAGGCCAAGGAGCTTAAGAGTCAGTTTAAATCATTCGATATTCAACACGTTGACAGGGTAAAGCCACCAAACCCTTTTTGTTTGATCCACTCAGTCGTTGGTTTTCGTAACAATCTCATTATGTCCGATCATGTTGTTGGTTCTTCTTTCCAGAGTTTTACTGTGAATTTGAACCGAATTTCTTTGGGTTTGGAAAGTTTAGGATCATTGGATTTAGAGATGACAATTAATTGTTTAGCTGTCTGCTTTGTAGGAGTTCAATTCTGATGCTGATACTCAAGCTAACTATGCGATCCATCTCGCAGGTGAGTTAGTTTGTGATCTCAAAACGAATATGGATTCTAGTTTCTTTTATTTATTTTTTAAGTGGATCTTAAGCTAACAAGGGTTTTGTGTTTTTTTTTTCTTTTCTTTGCTTGATTCGTATTCAGAGGGTCAAACGAAAGAGATTGCAGGCGGTTAGAAGAGGAGATTACTATAGACATAGAAATAGTAATATTCCTGTTTTCTTGTTTCTCGGATCGTGTCTTTTATAAGTGTTTGCTATAAACGTGAACATTTTCTTCTCTCTCTCTTGCTCTGTCCCCAGCCTGTTGGATTCCTAAGAACATGTCTATGTTTCTCTTCTCTTGCTCTTAAATTCTGTTCAATGGATTTTCCAGATGATAATGGTTTTAACTTCTTTAGAATATTAGTGTTTCCTTGTTATGTCCTCTCATTTATTCAAAGCCGACACACTAAACATGTAAGGGTAAAGTAGTAATTATGTGAAATTGTTGAAACCAAACCAAAATTCAAGCAATAACCAAAATTCAAGCAATATACACATGGATTTCTTGCGAGCTAGAAGACAAGGAGAAACGAAGTTGAAAGCGAACGAAGTTGAAAGCGAACGAAGTTGAACACAAATGAAGCTATCTATGATTTTAATTAATTCTACCCACTACTAATCTTGTTAGAATCCCACATCGGGAAGTTTAAAGGGATTAACACTAATATATAAGGAATTTGGACCTCTCCACTTATGGCCAATTGGTTTTAAGTTGGAAGTCCAGGAAACTTAACACTACTAATCCCACGCTAATTAATCATAACTTTGTTTAAGACAATTATCTTTCCATATATTAGTTGAGTTACTCTATGTTAAGTATTTTCCAATTAAAAAAGAAATGTTTTTATTTTATTTCTAAAAAAAAACGTTAACTACTTAAACGAACACATGGGAGGGTAAATTAGTAATGAAGTGAAATTGTTACAACCAATAGAAACCGAAATTTATCAACTGAACAACAGAAAAAGCCAAATTCAAGAAGATATATATCACAGAGGGAAAACAAACTACTTTTCTACATTTACTACATAAAACTATTTACAGTTTTTTTTTTCTTTTCTTTCTTTCTTTTCTAGTAGCCTATAAAATATAAACCTAAGCATGCTGTAATCTCTCTTAAATTCGTTAATTTAAAAAATTTATCGATTTTTTTTTGATAAAATGTGAATTTTATTTACCAAAAGCTAGAAATTTTCTACAAAACTGTCCGACAGAGCAAATCGTTACAAAATACCAAAAAAAAAAATCTGAAATAACAAGGGAAAGAAAATAGGCCTAACTATGAAACTCTACTCATAGGCAAATGACGAATCATAGAAAGGGAAGGCTTTTAAAAGCTTTTAGGTGTATCCTGGCAAGAATGTTGTCACGAATATTTTGGTCAATCAGCTTGAAGGTAGCAGAGATGGTAAAGGATGCAGCGTTGTGTAGCCTATTATTCCGCTCCTTCCATAGATGAAATATAACAGACTGAACCACAAGGCGTCTAAGCGCGAGACTCTGGTCACCTGAGAGGGTGAAGATCCAAATCATAAGCTCATGCCAATCTGCGAAAGAGGGTTCAGTCTTCCCGAGCCGAGGCAAGACTCTTCTCCACAAAGCCGAGCTGAAGTCACAGTGGAAGAAGAGATGATCCCGAGTTTCCAGGGTATTATGAAAAATACAGCAGTTTGTTGGAACGTTTAAATCCTAAACAGCAAGACGCGCTCTAACTGGGAGTCTATCCAAATTTACAACCCAGAAGATAAATGCATGCTTCGGAGTAGATCCCTTGAACCAAACAGCTTTAGCCCAGGGCACAGGGTTCCTAAAAGCCTAAGTTGCTCCCATGTGAGCTTCATAGAAAAGTCTGAGGTGGAATCACCCTCGATATGCCAGGCATAGGCGTTCGAACCCATACCATCAAGAGGAACCGGAGTGTCTAACAACATCTCCCGGAGCGCAGCAAGCGAAAGATTCCTAGTGCGGGAGGACGGTAAGAACCAACCAGAAGAACCAGTACCATGTTTTACAACTGCGGAGTCAGGTATATCTGTGAAAGAGGGACCCTGCGGACCAATCACATCCATAAAGGGACCAAGACTGGACCAGTGATCATACCAGTAACTAGTAGTTTCACCATCAGCAATTTGGCACCTCAAAAACCTTTTGGCAAGCGGTCTTAGTGATAAGAGAGTCTTCCAGATCTAGGAATGATGATCGGCTGGTTCAGAGTTCCAAGAGTTCAAATTTTGAAACTATGAAAGTGGTTCCACGTAACCAAAAGAGAGGCTCTGTTAGAGAAAAGAAGCCAGACAAGCCGAAGGATTAGAGTTTTATTCCACATCCATAAACTACTTAATCCCAGACCACCTTCTGATTTTGGTAAACAGACTTGCTGCCATGAAACTTTTGTTCCTCCAAACTTTGAGATGTCACCGGACCATAGGATTCTGTTACAGAGCTGCTCAATGGCTTTTAGACAGCATTTCGAAAGCATAAATGAGGATACCAAAAGTTTACAGTGCTGTATATGATGAGGAGATTAACTGAAGTCGGCCCACAAATGATAAGGTCTTCGTTTCTCAATGGTTAAACCGAACTTTTATCTGATCTAGGAGGGGAGAGTAGTCAGACCTCCACAGCTTCCTGTGGAGAAAAGGCAGTCCCAAGTATAGGAAAGAGAACAAGCCGTGAACGAAACCAAACTTCTCAGTTTCAGCAATCTCAGCTGAGGATAATCCTGCGATGTATACTCCAGATTTTTCCCGGTTTATCTCAAGCCCAGAAAGGTCTTTAAAGGAGTCAAGAACAGCTGTGATGCCATGGAGAGAGGATGGTTTACCGTCATAGAAGCTCATGAGGTCATCAGCAAACACAAGACTCGAGATCTTCAGATCCTTTGCCCTAGGGTAGTACCCAATAGTTTCATCTTCAAATTTGGCCTCAAGCAACCGAGAGAGGATTTTCATAGCAATAACAAATAGGGAAGGGGATAGAGGGTCCCCTTTTCTCAGCCCTTTACCTCCTTTGAAGTAACCGCAGAGAGAACCATTCACGTTGATGGAGAAGCCTGTGGTGGTAATGCACTGTTGCACCCAGTTGATGTAATTCTCAGGGAAGTTTGCCGCTTTGAGTACTTCTAAAAGGAAGTCCCATCCCACAGTGTTAAAAGTGTTCTGAAGATCAATTTTCAGGACGCCTTGTCGTGATACATTCTTTTGCCCGAAGCCCTGGACCAGTTCAGTAGCGAGGAGGACATTCTCAGTTAGCAGTCGGCCTTTAACAAACGCAGATTAAGAAGGTGATATCCAGCTGGGAAGGATGGACTCGAGACGACAGGCGAGCAGCTTGGAGATAACCTTATAGAGCATATTACAGCAAGATATAGGCCTGAAATCAGTAACCTTCTCTGCATTAACTTTTTTTGATACCAGAGTGATAGTAGTACTATTCCATTGCCGGAGGAGCCGACCAGAGGAGAAGAACTCTTTAAGAGCAGTGATTAACTGGTCACTCACAACACTCTACATCTTCTTATAAAATTCCAAAGTGAACCCGTCGAGACCTGGAGATTTGTTCATTGGGAAAGTGAAGAACTCAGTTCTGATGTCCTCACTAGAGATATAGGCTGCTAGGAATTCTCGCATATGATCATCACACCGAAACTTCTGGAGGGAATGAATGAGACTTTGCTCGTGGTAGAGAGCGGAGCAGCCTGATTTCCAAACAGCTCTGCAAAAAAAGCTAACATAATGGCTTTCTATTTTCCTGCATCAAGGAGATAATGAATCTGATTAAATGACCTCCTTGCAGCTACCATGCAATGGAATAAATTTGTATTCAGATCACCACACTTGAGCCAAGATACCCTGGATTTCTGGCATAAGAATCGTTTTTCTGCATTAGCAAGTTTTAGTCAGATCCTGTGTGCCTCTTTTTCCAGATTGACAAGATTTCAGATGTCGAACCGCTTGCTGTACTCTTTTCTCCAGGTTAGAGAAGTGATCCTTACTGAAGGATTTAATAGTTCTTTTGAGGAACTTGAGCTTCTTAGAGAGTACAAACATAGTTGAGCCGTGAAAAGCAAGCCTCTCCCAGGTATCCTGAATTTTGCTTATGAAATCTGGGTGATGCATAAGGATATTCGAGAGATTGAAAGGCTTTCTTTTGTCGCCGTTCTGATTTGCTATTTTAACGCAGCTAGAGCAGTGATCGGAGAACTCCATGTCCCCAAAGATACCAAAAGACAGGGGAATGCCAACAACCAGTTGTTGTTTACCAGAATACGGTCGATCTTCCTGGCAATGGGGTTACTCTCTTGATTGTTCCACCATGTAAACGTGTTTCTTTTGTAGAGGAGATCGAAGATACCTGTAGACTAAATACAATCTTGAAACTCCTCCATTCCTCCTATAATACAAGAGCCACCAGAAGATGCATCAGCAGGGTCAATAGTCTGATTGAAATCCTCTAGAACCAACCACGGCTTCTCCAAGATACAAGAGTCAGCAGAGAGAATGCAAATTTCCTGCCAGAGGCTATGTTTTTTATAACTGCAGTTAAAAGCGTAGACAAAGGTTACCACGATCTCAGAAACCAGATGCGGGAGCTTCACCAGACAGGTAATGGTCTGTGCTGACTTTGAGAGAATGTTGACCGTAACAGCAAGATTCCAGATCACCCAAATATGCCCAAGAGTAAAGAATTCATAATTGCATACAGCCCTTCATCCAGGGAAAGAAGACCGAAGCAACTGAAGAGATCTATGTTCCTTCACCCGAGTTTCAATAAAGCTACCAAAAAGAGCTTTGGAAATCTTGAACCATTTCCTAAAATTTCTTCGCCGAACAGAGTTATTAAACCCTCTTACATTCCAGCAAAAGGTGTCTATCATTGAGAGGGACGGTGTTTGGAGCCTTTGCTCCGGAGAAGCTCTTGCCTTCGCTGCTTTTGCAGCTCTAACAGTTTCTTTGACTCCAGCTTTTTTAACAGCTTCTTATTCTTTTTCGAAATGACCTGAGAGAAGCTATTCAGATCTACGTTCGGATAGAGTTTTCCACTAGGATTCTCGCTGAGGAGTTCTGCGCCAAGTTCTCATCTTCTAGGGGTTCGTCCTCCTCTTGAGAATTCTGATGACTCTTCATCAGACTCAAAGGATGATTATGAGGCAGAGGAGGAAGAGGAGATCTCAAAGGGGAGCTTCTCTTTATCCGGGCTAACATAGAAAGGAGAAGTATTTAGGAGGTTCTCCAATCCAGTGTCCACCTCTATTGTGCCCCCAGAGTCAGATCCAACTCCAGAAAGAGCTGCTTTTCTAGCTGAAGTCTTCTTCCTCCTGGGTTTCCTCTTCTTGCCGGGTTTTCCCTCATCAGGGATGACTGCTTCCTTCTTCACTTGAGGGCAGTTTTTTGTAGCGTGAGAGGTGGCGGTACAAGAAGTGCAAGTAATGGGAGCAGAAGGGCATCTTTTGAGGGAATGACACACTTCCTTACAGAACTCGCAATTGGAGGGAGCCATGGGCTTGAGACTCCAATACGGTGGATGTGTCCCGACTCAAATCTGACATTCATAGCTTCTGGGAGCGGCTTTGATGGGTCAATAATTTGAAGACTCTCGCCACCTCCAAATTTGTCATGTTTTCAGTCGAGGGGTGAAGGAAGAGTGGCTCTCCAATAGTTCCTGCAATGTACTCAAGTCTTTCTTCCGAGAAGATCTGCGGAGGAACACCATGAAAATCCAACCAAACCGGGGTGGAGGTGAGCTCAAGAAACTCTGGTTGGAGCCCAGGCTTTCACTTAGCCACAAACATATACTGATTCTCGATGTACCACATGCTCTGCTCCAAAACCCGTTGACGAGTGACAGAGCATGTGATGTGAATGAGGAAAACATTTGCAGATAGTTTGGATACCAAAATATTCCTTAATTGCTTTCTCCAGATGCCATTAGCAATCGCATAGAGTGCTTCTGGAGAAGTAGCTTTCCTGTGGAACTGACCTATAATGAAGTTTTCCCACTTGTGCTCATTCTTTTCGATGACAGAGTTTGGGATAGAAACACAGATCTCACAAGACTCAAGAACAAAAGGAGACCCTTTCTTAGTCATAAGGCGGTTCGAGCCTTTAACAAGCTCGCTCCTGGAGGTTTTCGATACCAGATCTAGGGCAGACACACTTGAACCAGCAGCATTCTCGAGGGTCGGCGAAGTAGAAGCCGAGATCTGGGGGATAGCAGGCTTCACCTAGCGCGAAAGAGGCGGAAACATCTCTTGGGAAAGACATTTACATCGGCTGGGGTGCTCGTCTTAGCAGCAGAGGCGGCGTGGGGCGTAGCAAAGCCGGGCAAGGAACCAGTCTGCAGGGTAGATTTGGCGAGGAAGGGCAGCAGCGCAGATCCAGCAGGAGCATAATCTGGCAGCGCAGACCTGGAGAAGGGTTTCGAGGGCAGAGGCGGAGGCTTACGGAGGGAGGGGAAGGAAGTCTAGGTGAAGACTTTTTTCTTGGCCATTGTGGTTGTCCAGCAGCAGCGGCCAGGGACCAGCGCCAGAGCAGAGGGAGGAGAAGGGTCGCCCTTTTCTAGAAAGAAAAAAGAGGATTTTTAAGGGAAAATTGGAAATTTAATACACAAAATGGAAGAACTTGTCCCTTTAATCTTTTTTAAAATTTTGGCAATTTTGGATAAAAATAACCTTATAAATACTTTTAATTTCGAAAATAAATATTTATATATAGTTCTTAATTCCGAAAATTTCAAAAAAGTAAAGAATATTATTCTAAAACATTATTTTAGGAAATACATATATTTAAAATTTACTTATAAATATGTTATAGAAAATGTGTTCTATAATTCTAGTGTTTTATAGAATTCGTTTTCTACTAGTTGGTGTAAGATCAACCAAGTCTAGAATTCGGTTTTTACTATTTGGTATATGATCAACCGAGTCTAGAATCGATGTTCTACTATTTGGTATGTTTTCTAGATCTCTTTATAGAATACATTATCTAGAACTTGTACTACATTCTACATATTGTAGAATATGTATTCTAGAATTCGTTATATATTCTATGTTTTCTAGAATTTAACTTCTACTGGTTTGTCTTCGTTCTAGTGAATATAGAATCCGTATTCTACCAAACGGTTAACAGAATCACATAAAATCTAGGATCAGGTTGTAGCTAACAAAAATAAAATATTTAAAAATATATTATTTTCCTTTTTTTGTTTCACGTTTTTTAACATATTTGGGAAGTTTTTTTTTTGTTCTTCTTCTCTTTCACGACAATTTAACGATCTCATCGAAGTTTTTCTATGATTTATGTTCTTCTTTGATTTCTGTTCTGGTTATTTATATAGCTCAGACTGTATACAAAGTTACCCAAAATCAATTTGGGATTTTAAACCCTAACATATATATATATATATAGATTAAACGAAAGGGATATTGAATACATTGAAGAGGTTACCAATTGGATGAGAAGATTGATGACAATTGAGGATGTACTCTGGAGAATCGATTTGAGAAAGAGCGGAGAAAACGATGGACATGTTCGGCGATGATATCTTTTTTAGGCTCATAATTGTATTGTTTTATAAAATTTCTATTCTTAATTAATATTAATTAAAAATAATATATTAATATGAGAAAATTCTTTTTTTAGGGGCAAAAGAGGATTACAATTAACATAAGTATTAGAGAGACAATTTTTTAAAAAAAAAAGATACTAAAGGGACAAGTTCTTCTATTTTGTGTCTTAAATTTCCAATTTTCCCATTTTTTAATGTAATTAATGTTTTTTTCCTGCTTAAAAATTATTAATTCCCGTTAAGAAATCTAGTATCTCCTCCTCTCTACACGTTTTGATTAGTAAAATAGACACAAGCACACAAATTCAAGTTGAGGTCACACTTTCTAAACCAGAATTTACTGAACATAGAAAATACATACATAAAAGATGAGGTTACATTACATACATATATGTACCTTTTACATGCTACAAACAAACAGACACCCACAAATTTATGTTGTAACATTATTACAACCAAACTCTCAAGAGAGTGAAGTTTTAGCCGGTCTGCACTCGCTCACACCATACCTGAATCTAAATAAATAAAAATCGCAAAACAGCCCCACAATTTTGGCCATAATCCTAACATCACTCCTTAACTCCGAAAAGTCCGGAAATTGGAACTTTGACCTTATTGCCTTTGTTTGGTTTTGGTTTAGGCAAGAGAGCAGAAACGTTGAGCTGTTTCTACAGTTCCATGCAAACCCGGTTGTTTTACGAGGATTGAACTATTTGGACACTGGTAGACCAAAAAGGTTGCGTTGGTGGATGATGTTATGGACTCTCTAACGGTATGAACTTGTGGACCGTGATAGATGTAAGAATTATTATGGTTCTTGAGAGAAGAGAGATTAGGGTTATAAGAATTAGGGTTTGGCGTGGAAGTGTTTCTGTTGAGCTTTGCTAACCCATCCTCTGCACTCATCCTGTGCTGATCCTTTCGAGAAAATCCCATGGCAGTAGAAAGAGAGAGATGAAGGATGTATTGAGTTTGTTGTCTTGGGTGGTTAGATATTAACAAAGTTTGTGGCTTTTATATAGAGATCAGATCCCAGAGGGTAAAGTTGTCTGAGGAGGACACTCTTATCATTAAAACAGAAAAAAATTGTCATAAATTTCAACTTTTAGAGTATTATTGAGGTATTGGTGCACGTACGTTTGTATTATTATCATTATATTATGTATTGATGGATATAGATAATATATATATTTTTTATGGATAATACTTGAAATCATATTAATATGTAGATATAATATGATATCTTTCTACTACTTTTACGTATAGGCCGGTATTAGATTATTTCGTTTGGTCTAAATTCATGGTGTTGGCGAGGACTGTTGCCATATATATGCTAATCTAGTTTACTCCGTTCGGTTTTTAAAGCCTATTCGATCCGGCCAGGTCTGTTGTGCTTTGGACCCTTGGACTTATTATTAACCCGTGGTTAACGCCAGATACCACCAAAAAAAAAAATTACGGATTTAATGGATTTTTTTTTTACATCCTAAACAAATAGTCTTAAACCAAGAAGGGTCTTCTTGGACAACCAATTTCATGGGGGTGTTTATATTGGATTGATTGAATATTCAAACAAAATAAAACTTATCAGTTTGTGCATTTTACCTAAGTTTTGTGAATTGTGAGTCATATATCATATACTATGGTCTCCCCTTCAGAGGGAACAAATAGTATAAAGTGAAGGAAAGTTATGAAAAAAGATAAATACATAGTAAAAAAAACATTTAAAATCACTGATCGAATACTACAAATAATCTGCAACTTGAAAACTCTGGTCTACATATATCATACAATATGCGTACCATACTATCATCAATATATGCATGAATCATGTAACGGTACGTAGTATCAATTATGTATATTTATGTGCTAATGTGCATGAGTATTATGTATCATGTATCCTTTAACCCAAAAGAATGTATCATGTATATGTATCATGTACGTAGATGTAAGAAAAAATCTCCAGAAAGCTTGGGAGAGAAGGGATTGGGAATCTGCTTTGTGAAGGTAAAAGAATCAATGCAATGTAAGAAAAGAGAAAGGTCGGTTAAGATTTGGTATCCATTTATTCTCAATTATTTCTTCTCTTTTAGCATCCCATTCAACTCTACTATTATTCCCCTCTATCTGCTTTTTCACTAACTCTACTCAGCCCTACTAACATTCCAAACCTTTCTACTTTAATACGATTAATATTTCTATGATTAATTAATCAGCTTCTGTATAAAAGAAGTAATTTTTTTTCAGTTAAAGATGCAAAACAAGTTTCAACTTGGCATAATATAATTTCAAACAAGATAACAATCTTCATTTAGCATCCTAAATCATTATATAATCTGTAGATATATGAATCCCTGTAAACTTTTTTAAAAGATAAAGGTGGAGAGATTTCATATTATAAAATAATCTTAATTGTTTGGTAAAAAGAAAAAAAAGGTACTAAGTTCATATTTAATTCCCACATGTTATGATATAGGCAGGGATGCTTTAAGCAGATATTTCGATTATTAGTAAAAAGAAAGACAGAATATAGTTTTTAATATTTTAAAATTCCTTATTTTTCAGATTTTGTTTTCCTTCAGGTAAATTCATCGTGAGTTGAATACTGTATTGAGAACAATATGAAAGAAAAATTTCAAATTCATAGCGACGGTCTTTTAAATTAAGTTCAAGCTGAAGTAATCTAATTAACTACTACATGTCTATAGTGAATTTGATCATAACTATATGCAAATTTCTTAGTTTTTTTATCTACCATTTCTTTATTATATAAGGGTAATCTAATCTATTATCATTAGATAATGGAATTTGATAGATAGATAATTTATACAAGAAAAAAATAATAATAACAACATTAAGTTAACCTATTTAATTGATATCCTTAACTATTGGGGATATGATTTTTTGTTTTAAGCTCAGATTGGGTATGATTTGTAACAAAAAAATCTAAATCACTAATAAAGAGACATGTGTCTCTATATCAGGGGTTCTCATGGAGCCCATGGAGTTTTCATAGTTTCTCAAGAATCGGTCCTCAACTTTTTCTTTCTAAAACTATTTTTTGTTTATTCTTTAGTGTTTTTTAATGTGAAATACTCTATGAAAAACGTTCGATGGAGGTGCTCTGAGAAAGAGCAGACCGTCAAACCGTCAAAAATTAATAAAATTTGATTATATTCGATTCCATGTACATGTTTCTGATGGTTACACGTATCGTTAAGTTCTTTCATTGTAAAATATCAGAGATTACACCTCCACGACTACATTAAACATTGGATAACCTAAATTAACCTCAAAGAAAACGAGTTTTCATACGCAAATGCAAGTGGATAATATCCTAAACAATATTTTCACTAGAAAAGTAAATTAAAGCTCTTGTTAAAAGATACTGTTGGTTCCTTGAGTAACGGATAAGCTTTTTCTATATAAAGGTCATTGGCTTTCTTTCCTCCAAGTCAAGCTAAAACCAAAAAACAAAGATAATACACTAAAACAATTAAAATACCTTTCTTCTCTTTGTGCTTCAATGGCAATGGCTCAAAAAGATAGAAACATGAAGATCGCTCAAAAGGCTTTTGAAATGGTCGATAAGATGTACGGTAAGTCCCCAAAAATAACCCCTCCACCATATGTTCCCAGGGACGACCGGTTTGAGAGGGTGAAAGGACGGGCTATTAGCTGCGACGAGGCGGCCCGACTCTATGGAGGGGTACTTATTAAGGAATTTCGTTAAGTGGTGTAAAAACTCAAGAAATGTTGAACTTGGAGGGTAAGTTTGTAAAAAAGTGTGATAGTTTTTATTTCTGCTTTCTGAAAAAGTGCAGACCAACACATATATGCTAAAGCTTGTTGTAACGGTTTTTCTTAGAATAAGCTTTAGATCACTACCAAGTGTTTGTGTCTGTTATGTATCTACAAGTACTTCCAAGATGAAGCTTATGTATAATATATAAAATGTTACGGTGTCACTGCTAATGATGCAAACATGTATGCTCTCAGAGTAACGCAAGTTAACATATATACTCATAACTCTTTGTAAACATAAACGAAATAAGTCTGTACGTATATTTTTTTAAAAAAAAACACAAACAATCATATATGACAGAGTATATAGAAGCTCTAGTTTTGGCTTATCTAGGTCTTACCCATTAGAATATAAAATCAATACGCAAATGGACATTTTACTTATTTTTACTCGAAGCGGTCATGTAATTTGGATTGGGTACGATAAGGTCGAATAACCCAACCCGTAATTGCTCAAGCCTAGTTTGTATACGAGTAATAATATTTTAACCTTTCTTTTCTTACAACTATTAATATTCGTAGGGGTTAGCACAATATACTTTCGGACCAGATATCAATCTTTCATTTAGAATCGTAAATTGTTATATAATTTGTAGATATTTAAATTGTAACATCCCTATCCCTGGCTCCTTAGAAGCGGGAAACCGGGTATGTTAGATTAGCCATCGAACCGCGTCCGGTAGAATGTCCGATTTGGTGATCGCACAGGAACGCCAGAAAAACGCCCAGGTAACAATCAACAACATAGACTTAAGCTGATCTCTCTATTAAACCTGAAAGACAAGGGGAGAGGAGGGGTGAGTAATTGGAATTACTCAGTGAGGATGAGCCTTAAGGAGACCCATAACATCATCAAACTAGCGTAAATTGGTTTTAAGAGATCTAATCCTAAAGCAAGCCCAAATAACACATATATATATACTTATATATAAACAGTTCATTCCTAACAATCATTCACACAACATTCAAGGGTAGCCCTACAAGCAACTACACAAGCAGCGGGTCCCTGGCCTTTGCCAGTAACAGTAGGCTGCCACATGGGCCCCCATACCTCACCCGGAAAGGCAAACCAGAATAATCCCATCCAATGGCTGGCCTATTACCATACCCATTAGTCAGGTCTACTCTGCCAGTCACACAGACTGGTCCACAGCAATCACCAAGACAGGCTATGACACTAACGGTCACTCAGACGGCTGTTCATAGCGGTCTCACCAGAAAGTTGTATCCAGCGGTCCCCTTGGACGGCTCAATAACCAGTGGATCGCTCATCAACTCCAGCGATGGCCCTAGCCGTGTGTTCACGACAGCGATAGCCAACAAACAACACTGACTCCCACCTCTAGGAGCCAGGGGTCCTAACAGAGATCTACTATGCACAAATCATCCATTTCATATAACCATTCTTTTTTAAAAGTCCTTCCATTATTAAGATGCACTTTCGGTGATACCAATTGTAACAAAAAGAAACATTAATCAGGTCAACATCACACAATCAATATTTTAAAGTCCAAATAAGTTTAGATCTAAGTTCAGGTTAATTATCTCATTTCACCAGCAACCATCAATCATCAACAAACAGACAACATAGATCCAGGTCCTAAACAATTCTAACAGTCCTAACAAGCAGATCTAAGCCTGATCTAAGAAAAGATCACTTAAAAGTCAACCATGCATATGTAAGAGATGATGAAGCCACAGAGCCCTCACCTTGGCTTAGAAGGCTGAGAAACTGGAGGAGGAGGCAGAGGAGAAGGAGATCTAAGAGGAGATCCATCAGAATCAGCTCCCATCTCACCCAAAGGAGAAGGAGGCGGCGCAGACATCTCGGCTGGGCAAGGAAGCTTCGGCGGAGAGAGAGACTTGGAGGATGGTGGTGGCCGCGGCAAGGAGAGAGAGAGACACGGCCACGAGAGAGAAGGAAGAAGAAGAAAACGCGGAGGGAGAGAGGAAGAGAGCAGCTTGGCGCAGAGAAGAGAGAAAGAGAGAGGAAAAAGGTGGCTAGGATTGTTTAGGAGCTTAATGAGGATTTTAGAGATTTAATTAGGTATTTATATGGATGTTTAATAGATGGAATGGGCTTAATGGACTTTTAGAAAGAAATTAGGAAAGACCCAAAATAAAAAGGAAATAAAAGAAAAGGAAATAAAGATGGTTTAATTTAATAAAACCGGAATTAGAAACTGCTAACATCCGATATTTGGTTAATCAAAAGTCGGGATGTTACATGAATCCTTGTAAACTTTTTGTATTTTGATAGCAAAGTCGGCGGAAAGATCATTACTAAGATATTCTTCAATCAAAAATGCGGAAGAATTACATTTTTTGGGGTGCTAATAACTGTTTGATTCATTTTCAACATGAAACAGAGTTTTGAGCTAGCAAAAGCAGAGCCTGCTTTGCTAGTGAGTCAGCCACCACAACATTGGCTTTACGGAATATGTAATGAAAGGAGATACACTTTTAAAAAATAAAGACATATAAGCGAACAATTACATTATTTATTTTTAAAAGTTAGACAATAGATTCGATATCTTTGCGATCATTAGTTATTTTTAAAATGCGTTGCTTTCACGTAGTAAAAATCTTCGTGTTCTTTTTTTTTTGGGTTAAATTTCATGTTCCATTTATTAATGAGTTAACGACAAAAAATTTATAAAACGGCAGTAAAAGCTTTCAAATCCAAAACGCAAGTTTCTTAAGTGTTCTCTTTTTGGAAGTGTCACGGACAGAGGCGGACCTACTAAGAAAAAAAGGGTGTCACATGACACACCATAAATCTTGATAATTGTTTTTCTAAGAGTAAAAGTTATTAAAAAATCAATAGCACAGAAGGTAAATTTGGTTCATTGACCCCTTATAACCTGGGTTCTAGTTCTGCCCACTACTTCTCTTATTATTTTGACACCCCTTAAATCCATAGCTGGGTCCGCCACTGGTCACGGAAGCAAGCTTCCAAAAGTTTCTAAATTATACTCCATTATTTTATTTTATTTTAGGTTCGAAAGTTTCCAGTTCTAATTCTAAATCCAACAAACATTCTAAGATCAGTAATTCAACTCTATTTTAGATTTGCTGATTTATGTCTTGATGTTAATACTATTTACGATAACCAATTAGTAATCGACTCTTACACATATCAAAAACAAAAAATTAACTACACTATTATATTTGAATTAATATCTTTCAATGATAATACTTTTCGTTGACGGCTAATGATGACACTTAACTTCAATTATTATAGCTTGAAATGTGGAAAAATCTGTATGATGGACGAAAGATGGCCGTGGATATAGTTTTGATATAATGTAGACAGGGGTATCCCGTATCCATAAATTGCTTTTAAGTATAAATATGTGGATTCGTTGATATCTACCTTTTTAAACATTAGATCAAAAATTCATAGAATTTTGTTCGATCTTTATTTTTATTTTATTTGTCATGTTTTCATATCCTTCTTTTGTAATTCAATTTCCTTGCGTAAGTTTACCTACTAAGAAGTGGGAACAATATGAATTTTGAATCGTACCTACTTAGAAGGGAGAACAACTGAAACAAAATTATCAATTAATTAGAGCGATTGTGTTTGGAATCGGAATTTAATTTGAAGTAAGCTAGTTACTAGATGTGTTATGTATAAAATCATAATACTTTTAATTATAACTACATGTAAAAGTTATTGAGAGAAGGCGTGTACTTGCTTCCTTTTGGGTTCGATTTCCATTGAGAATCTTTTTATTGTCAGTTGCTAATCAAAATGAGACCACATTTTAAATTCATTTATCATGAGAAATTAATTGAGTCGTAAAACCTGAATCATCCCTAATTATATATATATATATATATACTAATATGTTTAATATACTTTATATTATATCATATATACTATATGTATATCATCTTGATATCTAAATTTAGCTTTAACTAGTATATATGTCTTGTATTATATGTGAATGAGCGGAATGGATCGGATAGACCGTCAAACCGTCCATGGCCTTTGAAGGAGATAATCTATACATTATTCAGGGAATAATGATTAACTAAATGGATGATATTCGATTCTATGCTTTCCGCTTTCGATGCTTACACGTATAAGAAATTTCATCCTGAATAATATCAGAACTTACAACTTTATATTTTATATCTTGGATATCTTCAAAGAAAACGAATGTTCATATGCAAATGCAAGCGGATAATTCAATATTTCAATAGAAAAAGTATATAAAAGCTCTCGTTACAAGAGTATGTTGGTTCCTTTCGTAACGGAAAAGCTTTTTCTACATAAAGGCCATTGGCTTTCTTTCCCCAAATCAGACTAAAACCAAAATCCAAAGATAACACAAACAGACACACACACAAAAAAAAAAAAAAAAAAAAACACATTTCTTCTCGTCTTTGTACTTCTATGGCAATGACTCAAAAGGATAGGAATACAAGGATCGCTCAAAAGAGTTTTGAAATGGTCGATAAGGTGTACGGTAAGTCCCAAAAAATAACCTCACCACCACATGTTCTTAGAGACGAGTTCGCTTCTCGTTTTAACCAAAATTCTTACGAATATGGTGGTCCAAAAATTTATACCTTCAAAGAGGCGACTAGTACTACTAGTTGCCACCGAGTCATGTATAAGTATTCAAACGAGTCAGCTATAAAAGAACCCGTTGTCTCTCACCCCGTGGAACATATTCAATACTTTGGCGGCGCCCGTCCTTTTATCGGCCATGCTAACCGGTTTGAGAGGCCGAAAGGACGGGCTATTAGCTGCGACGAGGCGGTCCGACTCTATGGAGGGGTGCTTATTAAGGAATTTCGTAATTAAGCGGGGCAAAACTCAACTTATGTCCTTTAACGACAAAGTAAATCAAGTTATGTCGAAGATTCAGTGTGAGTTTGTAAGTAAGTGTGATATATTTTGTTTCTGTTTTCGGAAAAATGTGCAGATCAACTCATATGCTAAAGCCTGTTGTAGTGGTGTTCACTTAAAATAAGCTTTAGTACACTACCAAGTGTTTGTATCTGTTATGTATCTACAAGTAAGCTGATAAAGCTTATGTAATGTAAAGTGTTACGGTAAAACTACTACTAATAATGGAAATTTGGAACCTATCTGCCAATGTAAACATATGTGTTCTTAACTTCTTGTAAATATGCATAAGCTACGCAAAGAACCGCCCCTGATATTTTATAGGTTTCAAACCGACTAAAAATTAGATATATCGGACTTTTTGACACATATCTTGAATTTTTAAATGTGAAACAAAAATATTCATAAGAAGTATATGAAAAGTTGATTAAGCAATACCTGATATATAAAATAAAATAAAACGACAAGAGCATTGATTCAATACATTCTACCTAGAAGAGATGACAATTGTGAATCTGAGATCTTAAGTTAGGACTTTGTATGATTAAGCGAGATGGGAACAAACCCTTTTAAGTAGGTTTAGATTTATTCTATATAACAAATTTGTTTTTGAGTGTGGAAGTGTCCACTCTCGCCGGTTTTATGGACCATGTTGAAATGAAATATGGAAAAGAAAGAAACTTATTCCAAAAGAAAGAAACGGTAACCGAACCAACAAACAAATAAGGGTAAACCATTTCTGATATAAATATTGAAAAAGATCAACTGAAGGTCTGAATCCTTCTCCACTGTTTTTCATTATTTAAGGGGAATAACTTAAGGTTGCTTCTCCTCGGGTTCTTTGGTCTAAAACAGTATGATTTAAGGAAAGGGTCATGAGGTTCTCATTAGGCTAACGGTTCAGAATCGATTACTAACTCGGGATAAGCTTATCTGTTGGAGCTTGAATGTTCCTATCCGACAGCTTGTGTGTTTTGATCCTCAAGTGTGGAATTCCACAGCCACTTGTTCTTCGACTGTGTGTACTCTGTTTTCATCCGGCTACCGTTTGCTTCTGCAATACGGCAACTACGGCCTTCATGCTTCCTTGGAATCTGCAACTGGCTTACATAGTTAGTTGAAGGAATCTCTTCAGGGGCATCAAAGGTTCTGTAACTATTTCTTCAAGTAACCATCTAATCTCTTTGGTGTGAACTCAACTCTTGGATCTTCTTGGACAAATCATCATCGCCAACTCGGTTGAAACATGCCATTGACCGCACAATTAGAGATAGGCTTCTCTCACTTCCTCTTTTGGACCCGATCTCAGTGAACTTATCCCTCCTTGAATTTTACTTCAGTTGTATGTGAATGTATATAACATTTCAAGAATGCACTGGATCTGTTCAGTCTTGGAACCATGTGGAGAGAAGATTGGATTAAAGTGTGAAACTTATCGCTCTCGATGAATCTCACAAACACTCGCTTAGATCGATTCAGATATCGAATGAGAAAGACTTGAAAGTAAACGACACAGAGATTTAACGAGTTCAGGGCATTAACTAGCACCCTACGTCTTGCCGGCGATACTTCACCGGAATCCACTATCACTTGAGCTCAATACAAGCTACAACAATGTCGCTCTCTCTCTACAAGATTCTCACTCTTCCTCTCTGTTACAATCTTCGTCACAAGAAGAAGAAGATGAGTCAACTCAAGGTCATATAAGACCGTTACAGACACGCTTAAACCTCTCACACGCGTGACCAATGAAAGAGCTCCATCTAGTGAACTTAAATCGTACCGGATTGACTACTTAATCCTCGGTTATCTCGAGCTGGTCAGCTCCTTGAAGACCTTCTTAATCACCTAGAGTCTTCGGCACACTTAGTCTTTACCGACTAATGATTATGACTACTATTCCTTCAAATCTCCACCTGTAACCATGATCAATATTCCTGGTGAAGTTCCTTGCATCCGAAACTCGGACGCCTGCATTCTCAAGGAGAATGCTAGTCTCAGTTCCTCGAGACTCGAAGCATCTTCAATGCTTCATGAACTTTATTTACGGGCAATACTTTGGTAAAGATATCTGCAGGATTGTAAGCTGTTGATATCTTCGATACTTGTATTTCCCCTTTGCTGATCAAGTCTCTTCCATAGTGATATCTCACATCCATGTGTTTAGTCCTTTCGTGATGCACTGCATTCTTGGACAGTGCAATCGCGCTTTGAGAATCACAAAAGACTTCAACTGAATCTTGTTCAAATCCCAACTCAGTGGCAAAACTTTTTAACCACACAGCTTCTTTGATAGACTCGGCCAAAACAACATACTCAGCCTCGGTCGTTGATAAAGCCACTATCTTCTGCAGTGTGGACCTCCAGCTAATAACGTTCCCACCTGCAGTGAAAAGCATTCCCGTAATAGATCTTCTATTATCTCTGTCCGCTGCATAATCTGAATCACAATATCCCTTGATTGTAAATTTTCCCTTCTTCGTGTAACATAAACCAACCTCCACTGTTCCTTTGATGTAACGCAACACCCATTTTACTGCTTTCCAATGCTCTCTTATAGGATTGCTCATAAATCTGCTGATCAGACCTACTGGATATGCTAAATCCGGTCTTGTTCCCACCATAGAGTACATTATGCTTCCGACTGCACTCTGATAAGGTACATACCTCATCTCAGCCTCCTGATCTACAAGTTCCTTGACTTAAGCTTGAAATGAGCTCCCATCGGTGTTGCAACTGGTTTAGATTGATCCATTCCATAATTCCCCAGAATCTTCATTAGATAACCTTCCTGAGATATCTTCAAAGTTCCTGCAACTCGATCTCTAGTGATCTCCATACCTAGGATCTTCTTAGCATCTCCTAAGTTCTTCATCTCGAATTCAGTACTCAATAACACTTTCAAATGCTGAACTTGAGCTTTGTTAGTAGACGCTATCAATATATCATCAACATATAGAAGAAGATATATATTCGAACCATCATTTAATCTCTTAAAGTAGACACACCCATCATACTCACTCCTGGTGTAGTTGTTCTGAATCATGAAATCATCAAAACGCTTGTTCCATTGTCTTGGTGCTTGCTTAAGACCATACAGAGACCTTTTCAAAAGACACACCTTCTCTGGATACTTGTTATCTATAAAACCCTCAGGTTGTTCCATCAGAATCTTCTCATCTAGATAACCGTGAAGAAATGCCGTCTTGACGTCTAACTGTTGTAGTTCCATGTCAAAGTGAGTAACTGCAGAGAGGATATATCTTATCGATACATGTTTTACAACCGGAGCAAAAATCTCTTGATAATCGATGCCCTCTTTTTGAGAAAAGCCTTTAGCCACGAGCCTGGCCTTAAATCTTGGTGCCTCTACTCCAGCTATACCTGCCTTTCTCTTAAAAATCCACTTACAACTTATTGGTTTCTGGTTCTTTGGTCTGTCCACCAGATCCCAAGTACGGTTCTTCCATAGTGACTGCATCTCTTCTACCGATGCCTCAACCCACTTATCACTATCTGGATCATTCATAGCCTCCTCATAACTAGCTGGCTCAGGATTGCCTGCATCTTCCGTTAATCCACATATGAACTCTGCATACTCACTTTCATACTCTTTGTCATCATAAACCTCATAGTCATTATACTTTTCTGGTAACCTCGTTTCTCTCCTCGGCCGATCTCTTACCAGTTGATAATCACTCAGCCTTTGACTCTCATTGCTCGTATTCCCTGTAGCTCCATGTTCTTGAGTCAACTGACCATGATCCTGCTGAGATTCATCTCTCGAAGCTCCAACTTGAGAACTTTCATTTTCCTGTTACCAATTGTCACCTGCAAAATCAAAACTCATAGACTTGTTAGTTATATTTTGAGGTTTTGGAATACCTGTTTGGAGCTCCACCTTGATGTCCTTATACATCTTGTCCTCTCGGAAGACAACATTTCTGCTGATGACACACTTGTTGCCTTCTAATAACCACACTTTGAACCCTTTGACACCCTCTGGATATCCTGTAAATACTCCTCTTTTGGCCCTTGGATTCAACTTTCCTTCATCTGAATGAACATATGCCACGCACCCAAACTTCTTTAAACCATCTAGAGAAGGCATCACCGAAGTCCATATCTCTTCTGGTATACCGAAGTTTAAAGCAGATGACGGTGATCTGTTTATCAGGTACACTGCTGTGGCTGCAGCTTCAGCCCAAAACTTGTGCTCCAGACCACTCTCACTCAACATACTCCTAACCTTGTTCATGATTGTTCAATTTAATCTCTCTGCAACCCCATTCTGTTGAGGAGTGTAAGTACATGTTCGATGTCTTACGATCCCTTCATCTTTACAGAACCTGTCGAATTGTTGGTTACAGAATTCTAAACCGTTATCTGTACGAAGCTTCTTAACCTTCCTTTCTGACTGAGTTTCAACCATCTTCTTCCAATCTACAAAATGGCTGAAAACCTCATCCTTGAATCGCAGGAAATAAATCCAAACCTTGCGAGTATAGTCATCTGTAAAGGAAATGAAGTATTGCTTCTTACTTAGACTCATGGGAACATTCGGTGAACCCCATAAGTCCGAGTGAACATAATCTAGTTTCTCCTTTGTAACATGTTGAGCTTGACCAAATGATACCTTATGCGATTTTCCAATTACACATTCTTCACAAAACTTCAGATCAGAAACTTTGTTGTTCTTAAAACAACCCTTCTTTGCCAGCACTTCCAGACCTTTCTGACCTATATGTCCCATTCTACTGTGTCATAACTGCATGTAATCACCACTGTCCTGAACCTGTGTTGCATTGCTCGACTCTGCCAAGTGAGATTGAGCAACCATGGCTGAACCTTGAAGAATGTATAAAGACTCCTTTCTAAGACCCTTCATGAAAACTGTGCATCCTTTTATAACCTTGAGAATTCCTTGTCCTCCTTTGAATTCGCAACCTTTCTCCTCAAGAGTGCCTAGAGATATCAGATTTCTAGAAATCTCAGGCATATATCTCACCTCATGGAGAACAAACGTTGTTCCATCAGGGTTTCTGAACCTGATAGAACATATTCCTTTAACTTCCGAGATAGAGTTATTAGCCATTCTAGCTCTTCCCTTAGACGTTTCCTTCAGACTAATAAAGCATTCTTTCCGTGGAGTCATATGGAAAGAACATCCTGTGTCCATAATCATCTTTGGTAATCTCTCCCATGCTAAGATTAAGTTCTGCAACAAGAAGACCAACTAAATCTGCAGCATCGTCTTTGACATTCTTTACCATTGCAGATTCACCACTGCTCTGAGTTTGTGACTTATTATTTTTTCTCTCAAGCCACTTATAGCACTGCTTCTTATAGTGTCCTTCTTTTCCGCAGATCCAGCAAACTCGTTTACCATCTCTTGACTTAGACCTGGACTTATTGCCTTTGTTCTTGCCTGACTGATTTTCTCTAGACTCTGATCTACCCCTCACATAATGACCTTCACCATCAGACTTATTGCTAGTGCTGTTCTTGAATTCTCTTTCTTTAGACTTAGCAGCATTAGTGATATCCTCTAACTTGATCTCAGTATTTGAATATTTGAGAGTATCCTTAAGTTGATCATACCTCGTAGGCAAAGCATTCAGTAGAAGAATTGCTTGAACCTCCTCAGGAATCTCTATGCTGAGATTACTCAGATCTGTGATCAACTTTAAGAAATCGTCTACATTTTGATCAATCGTTCTAGATTCCTGCATCTTGAAAGAATACACCATGAGCTGAGCGTGAACTCGATTAGGTAGAGACTTTACCATGTAGAGTCGCTCAAGAGTTGCCCAGGTATCAGCTGCTGTGGTGCACTTGTCTAATTTCCTTAGTACTGAGTCTGAGACACTCATGAATATGATATTCATTGCCTTCTCGCATCTTTCAGGTCTCTTGGCATCTAATTCTGCTTTCTTCTTGAGTTTTTCCGGATCCGTCTCCTTTTCTTCTTTGTCCGAGTCTTCTTCGCTTTTAGGAGTGAGAAAATCCTTTAAGCCTTGAATACTAAGATGCGCCATCATACGCTTCATCCAGATCCCGAAATCTCCTTCGCCATCAAACGGAACGATCTCATAACGAGACGTTGTCGTCGTCGTCATCTCTGATCTCTCGAGCTATCGACGAACCTGGCTCTGATACCAATTTGTGAAACTTATCGTTCTCGATGAATCTCACAAACACTCGCTTAGATCGATTCAGATATCGAATGAGAAAGACTTGAAAGTAAACGACACAGAGATTTAACGAGTTCGGAGCATTAACTAGCACCCTACGTCTCGCCGGCGATACTTCACCGGAATCCACTATCACTTGAGCTCAATACAAGCTACAACAATGTCGCTCTCTCTCTACAAGATTCTCACTCTTCCTCTCTGTTACAATCTTCGTCACAAGAAGAAGAAGAAGAGTCAACTCAAGGTCATATAAGACCGTTACAGACACGCTTAAACCTCTCACACGCGTGACCAATGAGAGAGCTCCATCTAGTGAACTTAAACCGTACCGGATTGACTACTTAATCCTCGGTTATCTCGAGCTGGTCAGCTCCTTGAAGACCTTCTTAATCACCTAGAGTCTTCGGCACACTTAGTATTTACCGACTAATGATCATGACTACTATTCCTTCATAAAGATTATTAGATTCATTACATATTCTTGAAATGTTATATATAACTTATGTTTGGAATGAAAAACTCCATGTGGTAGAATGTTTTTTTTTTTTTTGGGTCTGAACTCCGTGTAATTAGCAATCACATTTTCTGAAGATAATTGATATATAGCATTCCATATACGCACATATATCCAATTTTGTGACTAATTACCTCCAATGATATAAAAAGAAGATTAAATTTCCCGCAAGTAAAGCAAAAACCATTGGTAAGAATTGCTTTTCTTTTAAAATGACAAACTAAATTACTACCTCATGTACGTTAACGGTAAATAACTAACTTTCCCTCCCTTCTTCCACATATAAGTAGGACTTCGAAAACAAAAATGGTAAAATACTAGAAAATAAAAAAAAATTGCAAAAAACAAATATGTGGAATGAATGGAACGATTCAAGCAAGATGAAAACATATGCCTTGGTGGGCGTCACATCCCTCTTGATGGCAATGGCCGTGTGCGCAAAGGCCGATTATAACTACACCATCCCGATTCGAAAAACCGCAGAAATCCACCGTGAAAGCAAGCTTGTGATAACAAAGACGGCAGTGAACATAATATGTTCCTCCACAGATTACAAACAAGATTGCGCATCGAGTCTCGGGACTGTGAGGTCCCCGGATCCTCGGAACCTGATTCGATCTGCTTTTGATCTAGCAATCATATCGATCCGGAGTGGAATCAACAGGGGAATGATTGACTTGAAGGGCAGAGCGGACAAGGATATGCACATGAGGGAGGCACTTAATAGTTGCCGAGAGCTTATGGATGATGCCATTGACGATCTTCGAAAAACGAGGGATAAGTTTGGAGTGTTTTTGTTCACTAGATTCTCAGACTTTGTTGAGGATCTTTTGGTGTGGCTTAGCGGTTCGATCACGTTTCAACAAACGTGCATTGATGGATTTGAAGGGATTGATAGCGAAGCTGCAGTAATTATGGAGAGGGTCATGAGGAAAGGGCAGATTCTCACCAGCAATGGATTAGCGATCGCATCTAATCTCGATGGTTTATTGAAGAGTTTCCGTATACCAATCCTTACGGTACGTAAGACGTTACAGTTTATCAAAACTAGGTCACTACATTAGGTTCAATGGTTTTAACTTTTTTTAAGTGAAGTTTTTAATAACTAAAACGACTTTAATGACAAAAAAAATTGATACAACTTTTTTGGTTTTGATATATCTAACTATTATTTTGTTTTTAGTGTATTTTTTCTTTATATATATATATATATATATATATATATATTGAGTTGCTATCTTTTATTGACTTGATGTCTTTAACAGTCAAGAAGGGATCACAGACTCGGCATTTTTGGTTCGGGTTCTTCACAAGAACAGCCTATGGATTCTTCGGAAGATCTTCCTCAAAAAGGAGATTCTTCCCAGAGCTCTCCTAAAAACATGGACTCTTCCCAAAATCAACCCTTGGATTCATCCGAGAATCAACAGTTGGATTCTTCCAAGGATCCTCCTCAAAAATTGAATCCTTCCGAGAATCGGCAGTCAGGTGGTGTTTCCGAGAATCAGCAGCCGAATCTTTCTGAGAATCGACCGTTGGATTCTCCTGAGAATCAACCATCAGATTCTTCCAATAATCGACCTCTGGATCCTCTTAGAAAATTAAATCCTCTAAGAAAACTTGATCCTCTTGCAAAAATGGATTCTTTAAAGGATCGACACTTATCAGAGGGCGGAGAGTTCCCAAGGTGGGTAACATCCCATTCGCGGAGGCTGCTTGCAGCCCCCGCGAAAAGAATCAACGCGAACGTAGTGGTGGCAAAGGACGGGAGTGGTAAGTGCAAGACAATCGCACAAGCATTGGCAATGGTACCAATGAGAAACACAAGGAAGTTCGTGATTCATATAAAACAAGGTGTTTACAAGGAAACAGTAGAGGTAACAAAGAAAATGGCTAACGTCGTGTTCGTCGGAGATGGACCAACAAAGACCATTATCACCGGAGACATCGCCTTCTTGCCTAACCGCGTCGGCACCTACCGCACTGCCACCGTCGGTAAATTCATTTTATAACATTTGACCTAAAAATTTTAATACAGTTTACGTAATAATCAAGTAACCTAACTATCAAGTGACATTCCTAATAAAATGTTAATTTCTTTGGTGTTTTTGAAGCGGTGAACGGTGACTATTTCATGGCAAAGGACATAGGGTTCGAAAATACGGCCGGAGCCGCACGTCATCAAGCCGTCGCACTACGAGTTTCGGCTGATTTCGCTGTCTTTTTCAACTGTCATATGAATGGTTACCAAGACACACTTTACGTCCACACCCACCGTCAGTTCTACCGTGACTGCCGCATCTCAGGGACCATCGATTTCGTCTTTGGTGATGCCAAAGCTGTCTTCCAAAACTGTGAATTCGTCATCCGCCGTCCAATGGATAACCAGCAGTGCATCGTTACGGCCCAAGGACGTAAAGACCGGCGTGAGACGACCGGGATCGTTATCCACAATAGCCGTATAACCGGTGATGCAACATACCTTCCCGTCAAAGCCAAGTAACCATAATATTACCATAAATTAACTTCAATTCAAGTTACTAGCCCTACATTCATTTCCAGCTAATCTCATTACACATATGGACCTTTAACAGGAATAGAGCGTTTTTGGGACGACCATGGAAGGAGTACTCGAGGACAATAATAATGAACACAGAGATAGATGATGTAATAGACCCGGAAGGGTGGTTGAAGTGGAACGAGACGTTTGCACTCAACACGTTGTTCTACTCTGAGTATCGCAACAGAGGTCGTGGTTCGGGTCAGGCCCGTCGGGTCAGGTGGAGAGGTATCCGACGAATGTCCGATAGAGACGCTAAGGAGTTCTCTCCCGGGAACTTCTTACGTGGCAACGCGTGGATCCCACAGACGCGCGTGCCATACAATGCAAATTGAAAGCCTATCTCTTTATCGTCGCGTTCTTTTTTTTTTTTTGTATTTAATTGTGTATAGAAATCCGGAGAGAAAGAGGATTTGTACATAAATTAAATTTTGAGAGGTATATATTATAGGTGTAAATTATACTGATGATAATGTTTCTCCTACAACTTATGTGACGAATAACTTGGTCAAATAAAAAAAAAACTTATGTGACGAATACCTTTAATTTGACATATATTCCATATGAATAAAGAGTTTGAGGTCATTTTTTTAAATTAAATATAAAATTTATTCAAAAAAAAAACTATTGTATAATGAATGCAATATTTTTGTTTGAGAACACAGATGAAGCTTTACAAACACAATATTAATCTTATACGTACTTTTTGTACATAGTCCAAACATCTCATCCTAATAAAGAAATTAACTGAGTGTTAGTGTAATGCTCGCAAACGAAGTGGTTTCACTTGAAAGTTGTCATTTTTTTGTGTTTGTAAAACGAACACTTAATACATAAGAGTACGAGTATTCATCACAATTTAATAAAAGTTATCTGGTAGATCACTTGTTCTTGCTATTTTAAATAGACAATTAGAACAGTCCAAAGATACATTAGGCTAAGCAAAAAAAAAATTCACAAACTCGTGCGAGGATTGTATCCTAACCACTTTAATAAAAAAAGAGTTTTAACTGACTAATTCTTAACCGTGTAGGCTAGTAACCGAGTGATCTTTTCAAAGAAATGTTATCAGCAAATTTAAATAATCAAATTTTCTAATATATACTATTAGACTATGTACATTGGTTTCAATATTCAACACCTTATTTTTTCTCTTTTAACACTTCACATCATCATATCTCTCTTCCACCTAATAATTCAACATTCATTCAATTTTTAATCTCTACAATTACCCCACCATTTCAATAATTTATATTTAATATATTTTTTAAAAAACATTTTTTTCTGTGTTCAAATTGAATAAAACAAGTCTCTACTAATATAGTACAAAAAATGATGAATTTTAATATAATTTTTGTTTTCAAAAATAATAATTTACTATAAAATAATTAATTTCAAATAACTAGAGTGAAATAAAAATTAGAGAGACAAACAGTCTCTCTCCTTGTGTGAATATGATTGGTTCATGTGGCAACATATGTCTCTACCACTTTCATTTTTCAACATGTTTATTTAACATCAGTTAATCCACATCAGATTCACATATTTTTCAACACTTTCATTACAGCAATTCAACAGTTGAATATATTTTTCAACACTTCCATTATAATAAGTAGTCTTAAACTAGATATACCCTATGATATATGGAGAGATAGACTTTCCAAAATACATTCTAGATCCATATAAAACTAATTCGTATATTATTATTTGAGTAGATATTTACATAAATAAACTTTTATTTGTAAGATATTATAAAATATTTTACATAATTGAATATTTATTTATAAGATATAATATTAATAAACTTTATAAATATAAAAAAACTCAATTAAATATTCATTTGTAAATAGCTAAATATATAGCTCACAGATTTGTTTTGAATATATATGGATATAAATCAAAAGTGTATTTAATTGGTTTACTTATTAAAATATTAAATATATTTTATTATTTTAAATAATTATCAATCCATATATATGAAATTTTTTTTCAACATTTTTCATTTATATTTTTATAATTAATTAGTATCATTTTCTAAAAATCTATTCAATTATTTTTATAAAAAAATTGAAATATGTTTTTAAAATTTAAATTGTATTTTTTATGGATTGGTCAAAATTATTTTTAGTAAATTGTGAAATACATTAAGTAAATGAATTTGTCCACTTTGACAATCTTATATATAATCAGTATTAACATATATTATAGAATTCAGTAACTAAAAATAATAGTTTAATCTCTAATAAAATATTCACAATTAATTTTTTTTTAGGATATATATATATATATATATATATTAAGATTCTAATCCATGTTGGTATGTATATTCACATCATATATCGCTTTCATATTTAAAAATTACTAATAATTAAACCGCATAACAAAACTACCTCAAAGTTTTATTCGATGATATATATACAAGTAAATATCGGGTGTGCGATATCTATATATGTATTGTTATCTACTCGCTACCAATTTTATTTATCTATATTTGTTGTTAAAAGATTTTTTTCACCAATTTAATTTAACAAAAAAATTAAAATTAAATTTAAAGATAATTTTAGAAAACATTACCTGGCATAATGTACGGGTTAATTCTTAATTATTTGATAATAGAGAAAGCACTACAGACTTTAACAAAAGAAGAGATACAGACTTAGGAAATATGTATATAGAAAGAATAAAGTTCAATCATATAAAAAGGAAACATTTATATTTTTTTTACTTTTACATGTAAGAAATTTTATTTTTCCATGCTCTGTTCGCACTAGCTAGTACGCAATAAATTTTAGTTGAATCAACCTATAAACGATGAGTTTGCTGCAAATCCACTTCAAATAAATCTCTAGGTATACTAAAGACATCATCTCTGATTCAGTAAAGGATCAGGTAAATAGAATGAAACGATTTTTTATTTTATTTAGAAACTTCAAGAACATATAACTTTTCCCCACGAGATTATTTCTTACCTCTGGGTTATAACAGGAAACTAAGTTGACCTATTGTCTCTCACGATAGAATTATTTAAGAACAAGAGAAAATAAATGAAATAGAAAATTCCAACAATCACCAATTATTAGATCACTAGTTTATCTCCCTCTGTGATCACCATTGATTCTTTTCTCTAGTAGTTTCCTTGTTACGTTTAGAACTTGCGTTGGAGACATTGTAGAGAACACAATGTATCTCCATACAACTTATAGATGGTTGGAAATTCACAGCGAGAATCACACCCGTCACAAACTGGTCGATTTATACGATTATTAGGAATACAATACCTGTAACGGGAGTTGCCAACAGAAGTCTCACCTCTCGTTTCAATCCATGTAAAGTCTCCAAGCGTGCATTTGACATGAAAAGTGATGCCACAATGATTACATGAATAAAACCATTTCTCTGGATCTAAAACTTCTTCGCATATCTCGCACCAGTACCGATCACTCGTTTGTTCTCCATAACATAGAAACAGAAAATGAGCTTTATCGTATTTGTGTTTAACCATTTTTGGCAAAATAGAACATTTAATGCCTAAAACAAATCCACACTCATCACAACTCAGAACCATAGTTTCCCTGTCTCCACAAGCACTACAAAAACTGTCTCTCGCTGAGTAGTTGATGTATAACGAATGAAGAGGATGACTTTCATGGACAAAAGGTTCAGAAATAGAACCACATCTCACATCCAGATAGATTTCCTTATTATCACTTACGTATATAAAACCCTGGGAATAGTTTTTACAAGCATCACAGAGCAATACATCGTCAAATGGGCGTAGAGTCATTAGCATCTTGAAGAAGGGATCTATTTTCTTTTTTGGGAGATAAGCACATTTCTGATGAAGAATGAAATCATCGCATTCCATGCAATAGTAGAATGGACTAGAAAATATGGGATATGTGCATGCTTTACACAGCATGTATTCATCATTACCATCACTCTCTTCTTTGAGCTTTAAAGTATGCTCCTCGTGACTAAAATGCTTTATCACTCCTTCTTCGATCACCTCGTATGATTTAACCTCTAGAGTATCTTCCGATATGCTTTCATGTTCAATCCCATCCCAAATTCCAAACTTTGTGGCACACCTCAAATGAATTGCAAAATCAGGACACTCAGAACAAGAATAAGCCCCACATGTCCATTTTATCTCTTTACGACACACGCCGCATCTCCATTCTCCAACATCAAGGCAATGATTGTAAGAAATACGATGAACATGACGATTTATTTTAATGATGCGCGGTATGTCTATACAATTTCTATGGATCATGAAATTGCATTGAGGACATACATAAGGATTTGGGTCGTCGTCCATACCACAAGCGTTACAAACAAAACTTCGTTGCGGCATAAGAATGAGTGGATGCGCATGAGCCTTCGGGTGAACAAGAGTGAAAGGAGGTGGATTCTTTGCACAATTGACATCCACACTAAAGTTGCAAATAGAACAATGATAAAACACGTTATGAAGCTTGTTTCCACATAAACAACATTTTCCATTGGTGTAACTTGGAATACGTGTGAGACACTTAAGAGGATGTTTAGGATGAGAAGAGTAGTTGATCTCCGGTGTGGATTCGCCACAATCTTTGTGAAAGCTCAAATCACATAGGTTACATACATAAGGGAACCGGTCATCAAGTAGTCCACATAGATGACAAGTAAACCTTATTACCTCAGGAACAAGAGATAACCGATGCTCGTGAATCTTTGGACCTTCGATGTGTAGCATAACTTCTTTTTTTGCGCATATCAAATCAATGGCAAAATCACATATAGAACAATAATAATACATTTTCGGCAAGTTACCTCTACAAACTTTGCATTCTCCATGGGCATCCTCATTTTCTGCAACTATCTTCATTTTCAAAGAATGTTGTGGATGATAGAGGTTGCAAATCACTAGGCTAGAGTCTGTGCACTCCTTGTGAAAGAAGAGTCCAGAACGAAGGCAACGATAACCATCACTATAGTAGCTTTCACCAAGATTACAGCCGGCACATTTTAACCCGCGTGTTGGGTATACATGATAAACTTTTCTGAGTATTTCCATATTATCTGCTTTTACTTTAGTATTTTCTAAAATTGTCTTATGTTTTCTTTTCATTTAGTGATGAGAGCTTTCCTTTATATATAAACATATAATAGAGAATAGGGAAAAAAGCTTAAAAAACCCTCAAGTATTTAATATTTGCCAGTTTACTACACGACCTTTTTGCGTTGCCATAAAAATACATGACTTAATTTTCTGGTCCTAATAAAAACACGACATGTTTGTTGATTCCATTTTACCTCCCCCGATTTAACAGACCTAAACGGGATTAACGTTGTCGTTAAACTGCGTTAATAATCCGTCACACGTGCTTATTAATTGACTGGAAATTACGTTTTTATCCTCACAGAAGTCTTCAAAATCGATTTGGGGCAGAGTAAACCCTAATTTTACTAAACTCATCTCTTCACTTCCTTTCAAAATCGAGAGAGCAATGGACATAAGCCAAAGTTCAGGGTCGGTAGCAAGCAAAGTGCATGCGCGATTGGGTCATGTCTGCAAATGTGGGAGGTCCACAATGATTCTGAAAGCATGGACAAATGAAAATCCGGGCAGAAGATTTTACAAATGCGATGAACATGGGTTTGTGTCATGGGTTGATGAAGAAAAGCCGCATGGTTGGCAGAAAATGAGCTTACTGGAGGCGCGGGATGAGATTCGTCATCAGAAAGAAGAAATCAAGGTACTTAAGGAGTCTCTTAAATCGCTTAATAAACAAATCAGCGGTGGGGCAGTAACATTTGAGTCGACATCTGTTAATACGGATTGGTGCAGCAAAGAAGAGAAGAAAAAGCTTGAACATGAAGCTATGGTTTCCAAAGAGAGGGAGAAATTACTGCGACAGTTCATTGTTATCTCTTGGGGGGGGGGGGGTTTATTGTTGTCGTGGGTATGGTCCTTGCCATGAAAAAATGAGTTATGGTAATTGTTGTTGTAGTAAGCTGTCTTTGTAGTATGAACTTGTGTTCTATGTCTTGTCGTGTTTTCATTTTGGTGTTCTATCGGTGTAAGATCTAGCACTTGATGTGGTTTATGTAAAAAACATCTATGATTATCATCAATTTTCTCTTTGTTAATCAGCCAAGTTTAGCAAGTTTAACCAAAATAACAAACAAACAAGGTGGAGAGTACCAAAAACTAGTTCAAATAGTTCCACATTCCAAAGAGAGTCAACACAAATATCCGAAGAAAACAGCAATCCATCAAAGTTGACAATACATCCCTAAAGATGATTACATGAAAATGTTTGCTTTAACCACAGGTACGGAGGCTTATCTTTGGAATATGTCTTCCTGGATATAAACGTCTCCTCACGGTGGAAAGCTTCCCATTCTTCATCACTATCTAATGCAGGTTCAGGATGCTCAGGATCCACGCATTGCCTCTCAAATTCAAGCTCATATGCTTCATCACCTTCCACAGCTTCCCCATTATTGCTTTGAATACCAGCAGGATTGACGTCTGTTCCACTTTCATTATCAGCACCAGTTCCTGAACCAGTTTCAACATTGAGGACTTCCTGAAAAAAAGACTGTACTCTAGGATCACCAGCTCTTTCTTCTATCGGATCTTCACCCTTATCAGCGAGTTCATCTGGTTTATCACCACCATCAGAATCTTCACTATCAGACTCGTTCTCTTTAGCTTCTTCAGTTGCTCCTTGAAGAATGTACACATCAACCTCACCTGTAGTCATAGCTTCACTACACATCTGCCTAATCTGAGCATCCTTGTCGGCATAAATCATTCTTGCTGCACCTATATCTTCGTGCCTTAGCTTGTACCACACTTTTTCAACAACCCTAGAAGCTCCATTTTCTTCGCAGAATTCATCAAAAATCGACCAAGTTACGTAATCAGGATCCAGGACCATGCCTCTCTCCACTAAACCTCCATTGTAGCTGAACAGGTCGTCCTTGATAGAAACTTGTCCTCTATAATGTATATCGACTTTGAAAGTGTCGCTGCACGAAGATAAAAAATGTTAACAGTCAAACCCATTTCAACACAGAAAAAATCGAAACTATGTTCACCATTTCATCGTAGTAACAACTTATTATCAAACCCCAGCTCGATTTCCCCAGGAAATATCGAATTCCTATTCGAATTTGACCCCAATATCAACTCCCCAACAAAATTCGAATTCGGATTTTAGAAAACAAACCTCATCTTCTCGAATTACTCTGAACTGTCTTCTATAACATGAGATGAACTGTTTTCACTTTTATTCAGATACCCAAAAGCATCTTCCACACTCTCGATGCCAAAATCGACTGAGGATTTTTTTTTTTTAGGGTTTGCTGTTTTCCCAAATCGATTTGGGAATTTTGTTAGGGCAACAGTGGAAATATCCCAAATCGATTTTGAAGACTTCTGTGAGGATAAAAACGTAATTTCCAGTCAATTAATAAGCACGTGTGACGGATTATTAACGCAGTTTAACGACAACGTTAATCCCGTTTAGGTCTGTTAAATCGGGGGAGGTAAAATGGAATCAACAAACATGTCGTGTTTTTATTAAAACCAGAAAATTAAGTCATGTATTTTTATGGCAACGCAAAAAGGTCGTGTAGTAAACTGGCAAATATTAAATATTTGAGGGTTTTTTAAGCTTTTTTCCCATAGAGAATATGATATAATCACTATATTAAGTTATGCTTTGTTTACATGAAAAGAATACTCAAAGAATTATGCTTGTTTTTGATGATGATAACACAACGAATAAATTCTTTGTAACTTATTCAAAGAAGAAAAGTGCATCTTATTTTTAGGATATCTATACATCTAAGTGATTCTTTGTTTAACTAATTAAGAAGACATTTTGTCAAAAAAAAAACTAATTAAGAAGACATTATGATTTCTAAATTGTTATCTAACATGCGGAAACAAGTTAAGACCAACTATATAACCATAACATTTTTATAATATCATTTTGGTTTATCTAATAAGAAGAAAAATAATGTGTTTGGGTTAATTATTATGTCTATAGTTTTTTTAATGCTCTGAGCTCTAGTTTTCTGGGTTAAATGGGGTTTTTTTTTTGGTTGCAAACTCATACTAGATTCATTTATTGAATCCTTGAGTCGTATGGGTGGTATCCATGATCCACTTTGCTCGGTTTGCATCAGCACTTTTTAATCTATGTTTGCATTTATAGACCAATTCTCAAGTTAAATAAATCCAAAGTAAAATATGGTCAGGTTAATATGATCATAAACTCATTATATGACTTGCAAACAATTCCCATGTATTTTATAAATCTATCTTCCACTTCAAAAACGCAAAACAACTATCCACCCAACTAAAAAAAACACAATAATTTTTTTGGATTTCACGACCGTTATTTTGAAATAACAGTTCCTCATCGAGACGTTTATGTGATATTTAGAAATCAGTCCAGCTTAGAATTGGATCGATGCCATATATAGAAATCTATCATTTGACTCATATGGCAAAAAAATAATTATTTTACAATTTTAACTTTGCATCTCATCTAAAAACTTGACACCAATCATACGTGTCCACGTGGCGTTACATTGACTGCTAAAGTCAACGAGTATCTTCTCCTCCGAAATCGATATCTAAATCCGTCACCGGCATGCTACAAGCCGGCGGCGAAACCACCGACGGAAACCCGATAGAAGAAGAAGAAGAAGCGCTTCTCCGTTCTCGACTCAAAATCCGTGTGAAAGATATCACTCGACTCATCGGCGACCTAAACGAGTTACTCCGAGTCAAATCGTTCTCTAACTCTCCGAGATTCCTCTTCGGGATTTCAATCGCCGCCGGTTTTCTCCGGGAATCTCCAGGATCCGAATTCTCATGAGCCCCAGCTTCTCCGACGCGGTCCGTATCGCAAATTTCAGGTCTCGAACCCTGGTCGTCACCGGAAACCGGATCAGAAATCGAAATCGCGACTTCCTCCACCGTTGATTTCACTTCTCCGGCTACAGGCTCGACGAGCGATCGACATAGAGGACAAGAGGTATGAGAACGAAACCACATATCGATGCACTCGACGTGAAACACGTGCTTGCAATTGGGCAAAACCCGACCCGTTTCGTTATCCTCAAACTCCGAGAGACAAACCGCGCAATCGATCGCGTTTGCGTTTGCGGCGGAGAACGTGAAGACGGGAAGCGATTTGATGACGGAAGGGTCGAGGCCGCGAGTGGTGGTGACGACGGCGGTGGTGGAGGAAGGATCGGCGAAGTAGATGATTGCGGCGGCGGCGCGATTACGGCGATCGAAGCGGCGGAGATGGAAACGGCGAGAGCGGAGGAGGTACCAACGAGAGTAGAGATGGAGAGAGATCATTAAAATGACGACGAATAAGATTATGATTATGGCGGTGAGCATGATTCTGCTGTTTATAGCGAACCCGGCAGGATCCGAATTGGTTCCGGGTGTGGTGGTTACTGGGTTCGGGTCTCTAAAACTCATGGTTTCGGATCCTGAAGTGAGAATCGAGAGAGAGAGTTGTATGAAATGAAGTGAAACTGTGAAAGGAAAGTTTTTTGAGTTTTATTTTTTAGTAATGGCAAGTGAGAGGGAGAGAGATGGTTATTTGGGGGACTTTCGGGATTTGAAGAACGCCAACGTTGACTTTATTAATTGTTGACGGTTTTACCCTTTTGTTTCGTTTGATTGAATTTTCTTTGACGGAGTATGTGATATTTCTTGAGTTTTAATTTTTCAAATCTTTCAGAGAATAAGCTTTTTCATTTTCTTCTTGTGGAGTGTAAAAATGTTTAGAGCAAAACTGTTTGTGCATAACAATTGAATCGAAAGTTTTTAACGGGAGAAGACAATCCGTAATAAAAAAAAAATGATAAAAAGGATTCTAATCACTAATGAATGTTATATGTGTGAACTCTCCAAAAACACTTCAAATGACCAAGATGATTTTTTGGAACATATATATTAAGGGTTGAATTGTCTGATACAGTGATCCTGCATACAGCCCAAATTTAGTTATAAAAAAAACTTGCTTTGTAACTTACAACTGTAATTACTATTAAAATAAAGTTTTATCTGCGGTCATAAATATATGTAGTTAATCCGCCCCATTTTCGATAATCATTTCAAGTCTTTCAAGGAGTATGACACTATTTTTATTTGTCCCAATCAATTTCAAAATTTAAAGTATCAAATAAACTTCTTTTTATATCAAACTTCAAACCAGAATTTAAATGGCTATACTGATTGACAAAAAGAAGGCTTTGGGGTTCATGGCTTAGCGTTTAGGCGTTAGGAGTATCATTTAACAGAAGAAAAAAAAAATAACAATAAAAAAGTTGTCAAAATTAATTTTCTTCTCATGGAGTGTATAAATTTAATTTTTATTTGATAACAGTCGGTGAGATCTGATAAATAGTTGATGTCTACAATCTGAGTCAAATAATAAAAGAAACTGATATCAATGATCACTAAAAGTCATGTTCACTTAGTGGGACACCCCACGCAGAAGTCGGTACCTAGACTTCTTGCACACAAAGAATATTTTATGACTAGAGAAGGATACAAAAAAAATCAGCATTAGAAGTTTTACACTACAACACCAAGAGTGGTTTATTTGTCATTTTAAAGTTACCCAATTATAAGTTTAGCTTACTTTTTTCATTAATTTTAATTTGCATAATTTTTTTTGTGTGTGTTTGATATTATAATATTTTGACTGGTTGTTGCATGGAGTTTCATAAGAAGATATATAAGACATGTCATGGTTTAGTTTAGTGTAGATGTCTATTAAAAGTGTGTTTTAAGTCAGTTTTCATTGTAACATGTCTTTTATGGTTACAAACGTCCATTTCATCTTCTTGCCACATTTTCTCGGAAGGTCTTGAAGAAGTAAAACTAATCCTAATGTCAAAGAACTTTAACTCTTATAGCTTTGAGATATAACTGAAAGCTTGACTTTATAAACCATAATAATCAGGCATTAACCATAATGGTGATAGACTGTTAATCAAACTATAAACGTAGTTATGTAAAAAATGCCTATCTTTGTAAATTTTCCCATTTTACAAGAAAACTTAGTTGTGAGTGTAGTAGCAGGATTAGTTGCATCTTATGCTCTTGCATGTATAGTGGCAAAAATCAACTTCTCAAGTTCTGAGTTGCAAGTATTTCATCGGTCTTCTTTATGACGACTTTGACCGAGTTTTATCCATGTATCGTGATCTTATCCCCAATACATACGTGCATCATTTTGATTTAACGGTGTCGTTTACTTTTTTTTTTGGTAATTTCTGTGCTTACTTAGTTTTTCTCTTAATTTAAATTAAAACATTTTCATGTATATCAAAATGTGTATTATTAATTTTTAGATAGACCAACCAATATGTAATATCACAAAAACATATTTTTTAATTAAAATTAATTAGATAACAAGGAAAATACATACTAGTTAAGATATAATTATATAGTTTTTCTTCTATAATCTGACCCCAACATATCTGGTTTTTTCTTTTTCCACCACCATTGCTTCATGCAGTTCTCCGGCTCTCGCCATGTCATTTCCTCACCATCATATCTCTTCGCCGCATACAAATAATTCCTCCAATCCACAAGCACTTCTCTCAAATCGTTAATCTTATTCTCCTGTCCCACACAACAATTAGCATGCATTGTGCAAACCTTATCCAAGTCCCGACCTGGCTCACAAAATCCTCCGAAGTACGTTGTGTCGAGAAACCTCATTGTTAGTCCAATTTTTGCAATATACCAGCCTCCTTTTATTTCATTGAACACGTCCTGATCGTGTTTATCCGGAAACCACAGCCTCGAGCTGTACCAATAGTTGTAAAAATCTATGGTTCGTGGATTCGCTTGAACAAAAGTGAAACCACCATTGACCTCGTTCTCGATGTCTCTATCGTCTCCATTAAAACGATCACACGCGATTTGGAAATCAACATCTTTAGATAGACGAGGGAGTGGATCTCGAAACCACAATATATCTACATCCTACACTCATTAACCATACATTAATTAATAAAAACATCAAACATAAAATTATATGATATTATAATAAAATTCTAACATCTTGCTACTCACTAATTCTTCTTTACTTATCCCCAAATTGAAACTAATTAATATAAACATATCAAACATCAAATCATATGATATAATAACAAAATTCTAACATCTTGCTACTCACTAATTCTTCTTTACTTATCCCCAAATTAAAACTAATCGAAAGATCAGAATAACCTAGTGAAATAGTTTTCAACAAGAATCACTATTCAAAAAGGTAGATAAACGAAATATTAATCTAGGACGAAACCAAGACTAATCTCCATGTCTATAGAAAACATGATTATCTATCATTTGAAACATAAATCGTAAGAAGTAATCATTGAAATTGAATTATAAGCCTATTTCCCGAACCTTTTTATGAATTGAACACAATCAATTAGTCGTGAATTTTATAAACCGGCTTCTAGGATTAAAAAGGTTAGTTAATCAATATACTTTTAACCAACAAGTCAACAACATGCAAAAAGGTTGACACATTAAAAATGAAGGGTACGTACAAAGAGGGAGAGAGATAGATACCGTGAAGATAAAGTTATATCCGAGCTTTAACAAAGTACCCAAAAACTCTATACGACGCCACATCATCTTGAGATAGTCTGGCGTCATGAACATTTTATCGTCGGAGAAATCAATTTCTTCGGTTTTCATGAAGTAGCAGAGCCGAGGATGGACCTCCAAGCATCTAGAGTAGGCCTCCGGGTCGAGACATGCCACCACAAGGTGTCGGAGCAATGGCTTAGTCCCTTTTCCAACATGAAAACTCTCAAGAAACAAATCAAACGTCGAGTTTGGTTCAGACCAAGCCCGGTTTAAGGTGGTTATTATGACTGTCTTATCCTCCGTTGCTGCTTCCCTCAGGATCCTCCCCAATTTTCTCACATCTTCTTGGTGATGCTGTCAAACAATATTAAACAATTTTACGAAAAAATAGTCTCTGAGAGAAATTTATATCATGGAAGTAATCTTTGTTTTCATTCATTTGAATATATTCAATAGCATTTTCTAAAAGGAAGAGTACCATGATAAAAGAAGTTTCTACATTTTCTTTCTAAGTTTCCCTGCTGTATAACAATATCCTTCTATTATATTTAAAGAAAAGGCGGATATTCTCTGGTTAAAATGGATTCAAATATTAAATAGAATACATATACAATATCCATAGATGAATAGGATACTAACGACATCGGAGAAACGGAAAAACTGTGGTAGTGGTTGAACACAAATTTGGTAGACCAAGAAACCGGCGACGACCAAGAAACTGGCGAGCGTCACCTTATCGCTCCGCCGCAACAGTTGCGGCATTGACGCCAAATTTTATGAATAGCTCATGAATGAAGGCAATATATTTTTATATATATGCAGTATACTTAAATAAAACAAAATGTATGAGTATAAAAAGTTAAATATGTCAAATGGAAACAAATGTTCAATTCTTGGGAAAAGACTAGACAAGGAAAAAAATCTGTGCTAGATAGTAAACTATATAAAACACAGAAATGTGTCCAAACATGCTTGAGAGTTTATAAATTAGATTGAATACTAATTGTTTTGTTGAAGATAAAATAAATTATTGAAAGATACTGTTACTGAAAAAGGAAAAACATAATATCGTAAATTAATGACTGAAACTTTATTGATTAATTATGTTAAAAGTATTTGACGTTAATCAAATTGTAAAGAGGGGCATGTAATATTTTATTCCTTACTGACGTATTGTAATCTGGCGGTCGTAATTGTTATGGAAAATTTAATACTATAATTAGAACTAGCATTGATTGACATATACAGTAGTATAATTACGTTAAAAATTTTAAACTAACTTTTGGTTTCATACTTAAATTTGAAAGATAAGAATATAATCAAATTAAATGCTAATATGGTATTTAATAAAAAAGGTACTAATACTTTTCATTTTGTTTGGTAAAGGATTCTCTTCATTATAAAGCTTCAAAATTTTAATCTCAGTTATCTTAATGTTTTTTCTTACTTTGTCCTACCAAATGTTTGTAATGTGTGCGGATATCCTCTCGGGAGAATGTTAATTCTTGAACTTTTTTTCGTCAATCGATTTGTTCAATAAGACACATTATTATTATATATATACTAGTTAACTTGTCCACGCTTCGCGTGGACTATATATGTCTATCAAGTGTAATTTTATAAATAAATGATTTTAAGAATATTAATTTCTTTTATCTTATTCTAAGTTAGATGAATCCAAAATTCACAAATAAGCTTTTGATTTTAACAAAAGGGTTAAAAAAATTTTCTGAAATATAAAAATAAGAAATTGAAAATTCTACTCTATATATCATAATTAATGACATTTCATTAGACATATAGATTTTATTTCTTTTTTAATTTTTTCTTAGATTTTTACTAAATTTTAGTTTTATAAAAATTGAAAACCTTATAAACATAAGAAATCTTAAACACTATAATAATTAGCGATATTCTAGCATAATTTTTGTTTTTTTGAAATGACATTCTAAATTTTATCTCAAATTTTGTTTCTTTTAACATTTTAGTTAGATTTTTTTTTAAATTTTGGAAACATAAGAAATGGTAAATTTTTAGTTTTTTGTGTTTTAAAAAAAAAACGTTTTTGTCTAATTTTTTTCTAAATTTTGGTTTAATATAAATTTAAAAACGTTTTGAATGAAAAAGAAAGAAAAAGTTTAACAATTATGAAAGTTGTGAGAGAAGTAGTGAAAAATGGCTTATATTTATACTAAATTTTAGTTAACATTTTAGTTAGATTTTTTATTATTTCAAAAATATTAGAATTGGTAAATTTTTTTTTATTATTTTAGAAAAACGTTTTTGAATACATTAGAAATGGTAAATTTCGTTTTTTATTTTTTTTAAACAAAAATGTTTTTAATTTTTTTGCCTAAATTTTGGTTTAATCTTATTTTAAAAACGGTTTAATTGAGTACGAAATTAAGCATTTAACCATAATAATATAGACCGGTTTGTTTTAAGTTTTTTTTACACATCAGATGTGAACTAATTAAAAAATGACACATAATTGGAAAATAGGGTTAAACGGTCTTTTTGCGGCTGAAACTCATTCTGGAGCTGACACGTAAGCGAAAAGAAGTGAAAGTCGCTGTGAACGCGACACGTAAACAAATCATTACACAAATAAGTATATAGATATACAGTCCACTATATTTTGGAGTGTATAAATCGGTTTTGTTACAACTTACAAGTACATATATTTTGCTTCATTTGAAATATTTAGCTTCCAATAAAAAAAAGAAGGGATTAATTTTCAAAAAAAGAAAAGAAAAAGAAGGGATTGATGTAATCTTTTCGTGCATCACTAAACCGGTATTGACGAAGTGTAAACATCGGTCTTATTAGTCTTTTAGAGTGTACAAATCGGTCTTATTAGACTTTTTCACTCTTCTCTCCTGTAATCGGCATTTCATTTGCTAAACCAATCCTCAGACGCAGATATGTAATAAATGAATGTATTTACTTAACGAGATTGGTTTTGCTAGACTCTTTTTTGGTCGGGATCAGCAGCGACGTAAACGCAGACAAATTGAGAAGCTTTTTTTGGGTAAAATTTAAAGATTATATTACTAATTTTTGTTTTTGACAGAAGTAATAGAGAATACAAAGAAAACAGATTAAACAAAAACTACAAAATAACGATAAAGAAATAGCAAACCACAACGAAAGGTTAAGAAAAACGGCTCGAGAGGTTAAAAAATTAAAACCGAAACAATACCAAACGAGAACGCAGCAATCACACGCCGAAACGTGGATCATCCCATTTTGTCGTAGCTCCGAAGATCTAGAACTCTCATCAATGTTGCCACGAGCATCAACCCGAGGTCAGCCCTCAAACTTCATAAGAGGACACTTATAGCTTCTCTGAGAATTAACGGGATTTTCGATTTCCGTAATGGTCAAGCTTGCAACCGTTGACAAAGGAGGCCGAGCAGCCACTCGGAGCATCACCTCAGACCGCCATTCCCGCAAAAACGAATGTCTGCAGGAACCAGCGCGCTCCCACAGCTACAAACAAGTTGTACCAACAAACCGGCGCCTCAACAATCATGTCCAGCATTGCTCCACCATCAACACCGGACCACACCCGGAGCCAACACGAACTAGGCTCTGAGACACTAACACGGGCCTATTACACATTTGTAAGAAACACATACCATTGGGGATCCCGTGCCACGCCGATGACGAAGACGGCAACGAAGCAAAAACCGTCAAAGCCGATCAAAGTTACCGCCAAGCCACCCGACTAAAGCCACCACAGAAACACACCACTGGTGGAGCCGCACCCGCCAAAAAGGCGTGAGCCACCACTCTGAAGCTTGCCACCAGACATAAGGCGACCTAGACAGCAAAACAGAGACCGAACCCGTCTTCAAAGTTCTAAACACCGTCACTGGATCCGAGGAGGCCAGATCTGCAAGCGCTATCTCACCGCCGCGTCGGAAATACCGAAGCTTGAGAGAGACCATAATCGGGGAGAGAGAAGAAAAGTCTACCATCCAAACACCGAGAATGACAGAATGCACGCCGCCAGAGGAGGCCCTCAAAAGAAATCTGAGCAGCTGTCCAGAAAATCGTCAGAGAGCAAAGGAAGAAGCAGCGAAGACCTTTCCAGGCAGACAGAAGAGAGGCACGACCCATGAAGGACACCTTCCTCCACCGTGACCCCAGCGACGCCGCTGAGCTCCTGCCGCCCTCGAAGAAGAGACACTCTTCGGAAAAGCTTCACCACGATGCCACACCCAAACCAACGACCACCAAGCTGAAAGACATATCAAACAAAAAAGGGGAGCGAGGAGGTCCCTCCTCCGGCAACGGTGTGCCACCACGCGCGCTGGAGAGGGAGATCGGAGTGTTTGAAGGTGTCTGCAAGAAGAAAAAATTCTAGATCTGAAAAAGCTCGGGAGAAAAAAAGGAGGAGAGAGAAATCTCTATTCTACTTAATTTGTTCAAATTGTCAAAACCGAGAAGTTGCGGCTGCATGGGAGGGAGATTCACAATGGTAGCACAATAGGCACATCAAAACAGTGGCGGTCAGGAATACTGTGATCCTCTTCTTCAATATTGATAATGCTCCGCACATGAACCATGCATGCATATTTCTCACAAGTAATATCTGCTATTTCGCATGGAACGTGTAAAGTGTAAACCTTAATGAAGTCATATATTTACGGAAGATCATTTATATCCTATCGGTGAGTGAGTCAAAATCAGTTATCTTTGATCAATCTATCTTTTTCGATAGTTAAATATCATCCAGAGTGATTTACGAAACCTCCCGTATGAATATCTCGCTTTTATTACATAACTGTCGTATCATTCTTCTTGGAAAAATACATTCTAGAAACCAACCTAAACTCTCATCATTTTTTTTTTTGGGATTTTTCTGTTAGCAGCCAAACTCTCATGTGACATTGTCTTTGTGTTTAAAAACTTTTTGTTTTTTTTTTTTAATCTAAAATCTATATACTTATTTGTGTAGTGATTTGCTGATGTGTCGCGCTCACAGCGAGTTTCACAGTTTTTCGCTTACGTGTCAGCTCCAGAATGAGTTTCGGCTGCAAATATACCGTTTAGCTCCATTTTACAATTGCGCCATTTTTTTATTGGTTATTATTTGATGATGTGTAAAAAATACGTAAAATAAACCGATCTGAATTATTATGGTTTAATACTTAATTCCGTAGTCAATCAAACCGTTTTAAAATTTATATTAAACCAAAATTTAGAAAAAATTAGAGAAAACCATTTTTTAAAAACACAAAAAAATAAACCGGTCTAAGTTATTATGGTTTAATTCTTAATTCTATAGTCAATCAAACCGTTTTTAAATTTATATTAAACCAAAATTTAGAAGAAAATACAAAAACATTTTTTTTAACACAAAAAACTAGAAATTTACCATTTCTTATGTTTCTGAAATTTAGAAAAAATCTAACTAAAATGTTAAAAGAAAAAAAATTGGAATAAAATTTAGAATTTTGTTTTAAAAAAAATGAAATTTATGCTAGAATATCGGCTAATTATTATAGTATTTATAATTTCTTATGTTTATAGGGTTTTTGATTTCTATAATTTTATAAAAACCAAAATTTAGTTAAAATCTAAGAAAAAAGTAAAAAAAAAAAAACAAGAAATGAAATCTATATGTCTAATGAAATGTCGTTAATTATGATATCAAAATATGATTAGGATTTTTGATTTTTTATCTATATACTTCAGAAAGATTGTTTTACCTTTTTGTTAAAATCAAAAGCTTATTTTTAAATTTCAAAATTCGTCTTAAAACAGAAATAAAGATATATATATATATTTTTTTAAATTATTTATTTATAAAATTATACTTGATAGACATATATAGCCCACGTGAGGCGTAAACAAATTAACTAGTTAGAGAATATAGATAGACTTTATTTAAATATTATATTGGTTTGGTTTGGTTTGATTAGATTTAGTTTGGTTTAGGATAATTTTTGGTTTAATTTTCTTTGTTTACTTTCTTTTTTAAGATTTAATATACGAGTGAACGACTATGCGTTCCATACTTCAAAAGGAAAAGAAAAGAGAGAGTGATCATACAGAAACTTGTTGCGAAGGATGTTGTATCAGGCCTCACGTGGTCCCCATGAAATTCCGACGTATGAACTCTGAAAACTATTCTCTCTTTGATTATGTTACACAATTATAATGTGGCTATGTTGTAACGGAGCGGATATCCGGATACTTTTTTATTAGAAACATATATTTTAATTTAATTTTATTATATTTTATAAATAAAATTTTTAATCTATTATAATTTTTTTTAATATATTTAAAGGTTAGAGATTCGGATAAGGATATCCGGACCTTATAATTTAACTATCTGGATTTGGATCCGATTTTAACGGATACTAGATTTTACTATCCGGATCCAGATTCAACCCTCTTAGATATCTAGACTTTTAGGAGCGGATCGGAGCATATCCCATATCAAATCTTGGATACTGAATAATAATTCCAGCCTAGACAATACTTAATTAATTATGTTTTTTGAACAATACTTTTGAACAATATTTTATTAATTATGTTGTATGGAATTTGTAATAATCCATTCTGAAATAAGTGAAGTTTAAAAGGTTTTATTTTGTTTTCAAATAAGTGATGTTCTCACAAAACAATGCAAACTTAATTATTGTTGACTATTTATAATTTGCAGGTTTTTTTTATTGGTTGATTTGTATTTAAATGAACAATAAATGAAGTTTTTAGTATAGAAAAAATAAAAATAAATAATTCTTAATCAGTGTGAAAAAACTTTAAATAATACTTTATATATTATAAAATATAATTCGTTTTTAATATTTTTTCACACATATTAAAAAAAAAATTTAATTGTCTATTTTACTTTTTATTAATATACGAATTAATTTTTATACTAATTAATTAGCTATAAGTATAAGGATAAAAGTGGATTTTTTTTATAAATCTTTGCATTGGAAACCAAAAAATACTTATATTTTGAAATAAAAAATCAATCCTAAAACGACTTATATATTAAAACAAAGGGAATACTTATAGATGATTTGACTAAAAAAAGAAAAGAAAAGACAATAATGATTCTTACGCACATGTTGTTATTATACTATCTCTTTTTCATAAAAAATGTCATTCTGATATTTTCTCCACATATTAAGAAAACTATTAAAAATACTACTTTGACCCTTATTAAATAATTTTTTCTAACTGATACATTAAATCAATAGAGTTAAAAAGGTATATTATTAAAATTCTGCATTGAAAATAGAAAAATATACTTTTTGTGAAACAAAAATAAAATTTTAAAATGACACTATTTGTGAAACAGAGGGAGTATTGTATAATAATGATTCTTAGGTGATAATGAAGAAACTGAAAACTTGTATTAATTCTCAAATACTCCATATTTTTTAATTAAATGATGTTTTTGCATTGGACACATAAATTAAGAATTTAATTTCTATTTTTTCCTATACTAAAACTTTAATTTTATCATTTTCAATATAATACAACCAATGAAAGAATAATTTGTAGAATATAAAAGTCAAAAATAATAATAATTAATTAAATTTGCTTTGATAAATGAGAACATTACTTATTTGTGAAAGAAAAAAAATCCTCTAAAACATCAGTTATTTTAGAACGGGGAGAGTACTAATATATCCAATCATACTTTTTATGCATATTGACCTTGCTTCTTGAATCTTTACCGCCCCACACTTTCAAATAAATGTCATTTTCTCTGGCTCTCCAATCCCACCTGCTTCCAGTACATCTTTAAAACTTTCCTGTTTAAATGCTGTAAAGCTCTGATGATGTCTATAGTTAGGCCCTTGTTTCAACGTACACATGAACCATGTATTCTCCCAAATGTTAGTCTTAAAATTTCTGCCCCAACTTGCTCCGGGTTCTAGTGTTCCTGGAGCTATCCTGTCGTCTCCAGAGTAACAGCTAAACCAAAGTTTTTTCTTATTTTGAAGTTCGTTCGAGATATTGAATCCGGCACCTACTAATTGTCCATATACATGGCTAATCATGCAGATGTTAAGAACAAATAGAAAGATTGAGAGAGTTTTCATTTTGTTTTGTTTTTTTTTTGTTTTTAGGATATGTAGATGTTTAGATCTTAAATTTGTTACTTTAAATATATATAACTATATTAATTTCCCTATTCTTATATATAGGTTTTCTATTAATAGTACAAAGGACCAGGACTATGATTTATGGTAGACAAGACAAATATAGGTGTATGGACTTTGGGGCAAGAGGACCAGTTCAACTGTTCAAGTATTTAGTTTTTCAATGGATGCATGCATGTCTTGAAGGGCTAAATTAGATGCGAAATGTCATGAAACAACCATGAAGCCTAAATTATCGTCTTGCATGTTTATTGACAACAATCATGGAAGGCAAGCGTTATTTTGTTTTTAATTAAGTGAAACAACATTTATTATCCGTGAGTTATGCAGAATTTTATTTTTTAAAACAAATATTAGTATGAATCATTAAACTGTTGTGAAAACTTCTTAGAAACTTTATTAATCACTGGAATGTATATATATAGTACATAGGGAATCTAGGTTAAGTACAATGCCCTGATGGGCCTAATGGGCCGGTATAAGAGTCCATATATGATATGTGTTATAACACTCCCCCTTGGACGAGTGAACCGGGTCAGCTACTCAATCGGGATCTCGATAATGCGCTGGGGAATGTTGCCTCATTAAAACCTTACCAGGAAAAACCCAGTGGGACAAAACCATGGTGAAGGAAAAAGAGTACAACACGCATTACTCCCCCTGATTGTAGCATCACTGCAGATCTCTAAGTCTATACATTCCTATCTGTTTGACGAGCTTCCGGTGTGTTGAAGTAGGCAATGATTTGGTGAAGAGGTCAGCTGAATTCTCACTGGATCGGACCTGCTGAACGCTGAGAGTGCCGTCCTTCTGCC